TTCAATTCATCAAAAGTCAAGGGCTCAATTTTTGGAGTGTCCCCGGAGGATCAAAAGGGTTGTTGTATTGGCCGAGGACATGTGTCACATGGCCTGGGGCGGGTGAAGAGTGATAAATAAACAGGAAAAGAAATCAGTTATGGTTTTGGGGACGGATAAGGATGTCTTTCTTGAATTCTCGTCTATAAATCGAAGAACTTTTCCTAAAAATAAGAATCTTCTCCGGAAAAGAGTGTTCCTCGAGACGCGTCTTATTTGCAAAATCCTCATAAGCGAAGCGGATTTTGGCACTCGGTTCACAAGGTTTACGCTTCCTCCCCCTTCCTGCCGCCGGGTTCGATTGAATTCCGAGCAGCTTTGATTCTAACATTCCAGCTGCCATGTGAAACACACCTCTCAGAATACTTGCATGTCATCAAGCCAAAAATTACGAAAGAAAAGATGAGATCGAACAGACTGTTCTCTTGAGTCAAAGCATATTTTCTTGATTGCTAGGAAAATAAGACCATCTGTAGGGGGCTTCACAAAAACCATTGCATTTTTTATTGTCTTATCGAATTTTACAGTTGAATGGTCCACGCTAAAGCATAAATATAAATATTTCGTATTATATGTACATTGCACCAGGGCTGGATATTTTGAAATCAACAAAAATCTCAAACCCCGAAAAAACATGAATCGTCATCTCATCCATTTCAAAAATGCAATCTCAGAAAATTTTCTGTTTGAGATCTCAATTTTCGATTTTGCAAAAAAATGATATTTGAAATGCTGAGATCTCAATTATCTCAGAAAACTGCGTGAGTTGGATACGCGCGTTGCAATGAAATGAAATTTGAAATTCTGAGATCTCAAGCATTTCAGGTCCATCTGAACCAATCACAAGTCTTGCTCTAAGCCCGCGACGTTTGTCTGCGGCCATTGCGCGGTTTGCAAAATTTTGAGATTTGAGATTCTGAAATTTCAGCAATTTCAAAAAAGAAAAATAATGACGAGGGAGTTGCAATAAAATTGAAATTTGAAATTTGTTGAAATGGTGCAAAATTTTGAAATGAAAATGAGATTTCACACAAAAATCGATTTGAGATTTTTGCTGATTTCAAAATATCCAGCCCTGCATTGCACAATGCTAATCTCTAATCCTTCGTCAAATTACTCCCTATCTAAAATACTTTTAAAAGGAAAGCACCCTTAAGCAATAATGATCATATGGTCGAGAAACACTTGAAGCAAAGCGATAACACTAAACATGGCTACCTGCTGAGGCCAGATCAAAGCAGCGGATATCACGTGGCGTTGTTTGAAGCGAAAAGTGAGAAGCACTTTCACAGTCAGGTGCTTGTTCGCTTCCAATTCACAAAAATACCATGAATTTTCATCACTTGAAAAGAAACGCGCCTGGAGACGGGCCAATGTGCAGCACACGCTGAGAATAACACTTATGTGAAGATTAAGGGCGGCTCCAGACGGGGAATTAAGGGCAGGTACAGCACTTGAAAATTAATGAAAGAAATGATGAAAAAGAACGAGAATTCGGGTAAAAATATTCGATTTTTTCATGTTTCTGGTCAATTTGAGTCGATAGTCCCGATAATTTGACGTTCAATGTCAAGGAAATGACCCCAATTAGAGGGCTTTACCCCTTAATGATTGACAAGGCACCCCTTTTTACAGAAAAATAAGGAGGAAGGATTGTTTATTTAGTCGGATTTGGAAGCTGAAAGTGCAAGAACCGTCCACAATCCGCCACAAAAGATCATAAATAAGCAAATGGATTAATAGACTTTCCCGAAATCGCGTAGATCAAGGACTCGCCGAATGTTGAACAGAATCAAAGCAATAAAAGAAAATTTGGGAACTGGAACTAACTTGAAGAACAATAAATAAAGACGTTCTTCTTTGAGGAATTTTGATGATGAAAGAAGAAATCGAGAAATTTATGAGTTGAAATTTGCCTCGCTTTCAATTGATGGAATTGATAGCTTCCGTCAGTCCGGGAGCAGCGTTTTTGAAATCATGGCTCCGGAGAGTCTGATCCTTTGAATGATGCCAAGAAAGTTCCAGATTTTCAACTACTGTCAGATTCCTGGAATGAATGTCTCGAAATTCTTGGCATTATATCAAAAATCTCAGTTTTGGACAAAATTTTTCCTCTAGAATTATCGATTTGACACCCTTAATCAATAAAACTAACGCATCTCTGATGTTTTATTTTAAGGGTATCACTTCGTTAATTCCTTAACTATTTATAATTGGAAAAATAGAACTCGATTGTTAAAATTGTAATAGCGGATGAGAATTTTAAGAATTCAAGTCCCTAAACAGCCTGTTTTTATATGTTTGGCATTTCTCACGAGTGGTACTAAACTTCCGGGTCTCTCAGGTCGGATCACATCCGGCGCGAACCACTTCCGGAAGCGGTTTTCGAAACATTTCTGCTTCCGACTTACGAAGAGTGACGACGCTCCTTGCACGGCACTCGATCGGACATGTTGATTTGGCAATATTTGGCACGTGACCACCTTCGAGCATTTTTAGGGAGACAAAAACCTTTTCCACTCGAGCAGCGAGTGTCTTTCAACAAATACTGTGGCAAATAGACCAGCCACGGGTTTATGGTTGTTTTCCGGTTTACAACGCTGATTTACGCGTTTTGTGGTCATGGGGGCACCTAGGGTGGGTGCAATTCTCAAAATCTATGGCTAGGGTGAGCTCCATCCTCAAAGTTGTTCGGCAAAAGGGTCCCTATTTAGGGGATGGTGTCTGGAACCGACAAAAATTTCGACAAATTTTGCGTGGGCGGCTACTGGGCTGCTGATTGGCCGGTTTGCCAGATCAAGGCTTCTGATTGGTTGAAAATTTCCACGCAAAATTTGTCAAATTTTTTTTGTCGGTTGCAGACACCTCCCCTTATTTAGGGTTGCTAAATCGGATGATGTCTATCCTCCTTAAATCTTCCGAATAACTCCAAGTTTTATTTGGGTTTTGGAGCCAAAGAAATATTGCCCGCTTCCTGGCCTTGATCATTCTCATAATAAAGGAGGATAAAACGTGGACTTCTGGAAGTCGCTTTTATGAAGACGAATTGGCTTTTTATGAGATCGTGGCTGGCGGCCAGAATTCTGGGGAAATATCGGAAAAATAACATCAAAGCCGAGATTTCCTGAGAATATCGGTAATTTTTGATTGACAGGAAATACAAATCGGAAAAGTAATTATCGTCTCAGAATGTTCGGTCTTCAAAAGGGTAGCCGTTGCGTATAAATCAGCTTTTGACGGGCGAAATACACACTTTTTCGAGAAAAAGAGGTATTCTAGTGCTAGAAACCGCGAATTCAGGGGCGGGATCCGAGGTCGTGAGTTGGAATTTCCTATTTCCAACTATTTACATCCGTCGGTTTTTCTCGTTCCACCGTTGGGGGCCGCTTTGTCCGAAAGGTCAACTCATTAATCCCTCCTTTTCAAGGTCTTTGGGAAAATTCTTCACAGCGAATTATTAATTAACTCCGGAAATTATCCATTTCCGCGTCTTTCTTTTTGCATTGAAAGTTCATTCAATATTTTCTTACTAAATACAGTCTTTAAGGGCAAGTCAAATATAAACCCTTTTTTATAAAAGGGCGGAAGAAAAGTTCGTTGAATCGATAAAAGTCCCGCTGCGATAATCTTAAGAATAAGTGTTGAAAGTGATAGTTGGATTTATATTGAAAAGCTCATCCCCCGCCGCGCACCTTTTAAAATGGCGCCCGGATTGGAGGTGCCTCCACAGGGCGGGAGCTTGATGACAGGCCATCACACAGTTTTTACTGTTGTCGAGCAGCTCATCAGATTGTTGGATTGTTTGATGAAGTTCACGCATTCCTGAGGTAATTACTAGAGTCGCGAAATGTCATTCTTACCCGGCTGAAATCCTACTTTCTCAGGCTCCATTCGGAATTTCGACAGTTTACTCCCGGGAAGAAAATGTCAGCCTTGATTTGTGTATTTAGCGGTGAATAGGTTAAAATGCTAAGGAAGATTCAGTCAGGTGCTTGGCGAGGAATAAATAACGCTCTTCGTCGCTCTTCCTTTTGTCCTTGGAATAACAGATTCGTGTATTTATTCATTAGGTTGCGCTTTGTCTTGAACCTCTTGAGCGGAAATAGCCAGACGGGTAATTATTTTTTCAACGTCGGCAGAGTCCGGTAAGTCTTTCAAATCAAGGTCAACAAGCTCAGGAAGAGATTTCCCGTGGTAGTTGATGATTTCCATTCTTTAAAAATCTGATTGAAAGCTGAACTTTTTGAAATAAGAAAGTGATACCCTTATTTTCTGAAGCAAACGATGAGTAGTTTTTGAGTCAAAAGAAAAATGAAAAGCTTGAAAGGCATTTTGAATTATTTCCGGCAATGTAATTCTTGCCGCAAGAATTCCACCGCTCGGCAACAATCAAACATTCCCTGAGCCGCAAAAATAACATCGTAAATCGTCCGATTGAAAGAGGAAATAGTTCCGGAAATTCCGAAATCGCCCAGCCCGGATGGTCAAAATACCGCCAAAATAGAAACGCCAGCTAGAAAAAGAAAGAAATCTGATTCTAGCGCTGAGAAAAAGATTCGGCCCTGGAATTCATTTTTCCATGTTCTGTAATTCAAGAAACGCGTAAACCCTTTTTCGCGTGTTGTTAATAACTTCTAAAACAGAAATGTGTGCTAATTGAGTCGTTGACGCGTGCCAAAATTGGCGCCACTTGAAATTCCACTTTTTGGCACTTTTCTTTCCTCTCACAAATCAAAACGGTCAGCCGAAAGCGAAGTGAAAGCAAAAATGGTACTCAAGACCAAAAACTTTTAAAAGCTTTGAATTAATTTCGCGGGAAATCGGGCAGAGTTGAAAAAATCCCAAAAGCGCTAGGATTTTCTAGAAATGTTTATTTCCAAGAAAATGAGAATTGAAGGTTCATCAGTTTTTTAACCTGGGAAAGGAGCCCAGGTCTCGAACAGTTCGAGTCGAACTAGAGAATGGACCGCAGCGGGAACGAGACCATCCCCGATTACTGGCTCGACAAGGGACTGAATACGGAAGTTCTTGATCGATGGTACACCGTTTTGTCAATCCGTGAATATCATTTTCAAATATAAGTTTAACTGATAATTATTAAGTGGTCATTTCTCTGATAATTCTTGCGATCGCTAACTACTTCTTCACATGGCTGGTACGAAGAAGGATTAGTCCGTTGAAATTGATTGGAGAAGCTCCCTTGTCAAAACTGGAAACATACGCTCAAGCTTGCAAACTTGGCCAAGAACCTACGATTAACTTTGTCTCCTCCGTTCTCATTACGAACGATAGAGTTTACATTGTCATGCGATTGATTGTTGCTATTTGGTCGCTTTTCCTAACTTATGCTACTTTGGAATGGGAAGGAATTAGAGTTATCGTTGCTGGCTTGTATTATCCAACAGGTAAATGTTTTTTCTTTCAACTGAAGGACTCACATTTCGCGTAGTTGTATCCCTTACTATTTACATCAATTTCAATCGAGAACTCATCGTCGACGGATTTGGAAAAAAAGCTCAAATGATCAATAAATTTTTGTCGTTTTTGTTCAACGTCACGGTAACTTTTTACGTCGTTGCCGTCATTTATTTCGCTTTAGACAGCAATGGACCTTCTTGTCGGGATATTTTGGTGGACAAAGTGCTTTGGTGCTGGACTTCGCTACCGAGACATGCCTCGACCGCTTCCCATTTTGAATCCGATCGTCATTTTCAACAAAGAATTTGCTCCGATTCTTTTTATGCTTGTCGAGTTGCTTTGGTTCGATACGACTGGTAAGTCATTCATAGCTCTAGAAAATCAGCTACTGTAGCTATACGTAACATGATATTCTAGTTTTTTACGCTGGATTTTGGGGACCAATCATTGCTGGAAATTTGTCAAGTCTTGCGATCATAAATGGCCGATCAAGAAAAGAACTTCCTCAAGCTCTAGCGTAAGACAGTTTTCTCGAGATGACCACCTAAAATTTTAGTGTGCCTCTAACTCATCCAGCGAGCTCCTTGGTCAGGCTGTTCGTCTTTACATTGATATACCCATTGCTTCACGCGGCGCTCGCTACATTTTGCTTTCTGAAAACTGTGGTATTCAAGAAGATTCCTACTCTTGCTGCACGACTTGAAATTCGACAGAAATGCGTTGCTAATTTCCGAAAACGACAAGCCTTCGACCGATATTTCAATACCCGTGGAAAAGAAGGAAGAAGATCTGCTGCAGCAAAGGAAGCGTACAAAAATCTTGGAAGAGCTTCGTACAGAGAATCAAGAAGAACCGTCACAAGAGAACTCTGAAGTCTCTTTTCAATAAAATATGATTTCTCAAAAATATTTGCCTCTTTTCATGCAAACATCAAGAAATGCTTAGCTGGTAGTTTCTTGATGATGGAAGTCGAAAAACAAGTCCGTCGTCCTTGTCTTTTTCGCCGTCTGATGTGGCTCAATTTAAAAATCATTTAGATTGTGAATTAATTGGCGAATCGGGATAATTAGCCGGAACCGAGTCTCCTCTCTGCCCGGGCCATTAGCAGCGCCACAAATGAGCCACCGTGAAAATTTGACCAGAAGCAGAAATTCCAAAGCCTTTTTCGTTTCAATAATGCAGTTTTGGAAAAAGAAAGTACAAAACAGCAGCATTCACTTTCATGCGGCGGATGAAATGATCGCTAAAGGTGACCGAATTTCAAAAGGGATCTTTTCGCGCGCTTCCAAAGGCAGCGAAAAGAAAACTTCAAAAAAGAACTTCTATTGAGGAGAAAATCCGGGAGGATCTCGTTTGTGTAATTTGCATTTTCTTTCATTTTGTAAAAAAAATTCTGTATTTAAGATAGATACTTTTGTGGATAAAAGAGCCATAAAAATAGGGAAACCTTAACATTCATATCAACAGAGCCGAGTGATTCAGTTTCGGCTAATAATTGTGATAAAATGCAGACAATACAATGTATGGGTGTTTCATGTTCCGAACCGCTTCCAGCAATTGCTGTTAATATTTTCCCCCTTTACGAGTTATAGAAAAGTCACCATCTGTCAAATCCATGGAAGCAATTTCAAATTTCTACGACGGACGGTAAAGAGCCTGCCAAGCGCTAATTTCGCGAAGGGGGTAATTATGCTGGGCACGGCAAAAGGCAAGTTGCACTTTCCGCATCCCGTTGTTGGCATTCAGTATGGATGTAGTAAACTCGCTTTATTACCAGCGCATCGTTTCCAGTTTTCCGTGAAAAAATTGCAAGATCGATTTTTTGTCTTCCTTGCTATCAAATCGGCTTAATTTTGACCCCCGCGAAGCTGAAGACCCTTGAAATGCATGTTACGTAATCCTATAAGACCCGATATAAATCTGGACTGATAGACGAAAATCAAGCGGGTATATCAAACAGTATTGGACATGTCACATGTGTCACATATGGCGTTATATTTCTGATTGACTGTATTTTTGGAGAAGATTTGTTTTGTAAGAAACATTGTTTTATATATAATTATTGACTTCAGAATTCTTCGGGATTGTTCGATTCCTGATCGCTTCGTCTCTTAGGACTTCGAATTGATCATCTTCTAGAGCTTCGTAATGCTCGTCCTCTTCGTCTTTGTTTGCGCAGTGGGCACAGCATCGTCGCCAGTCGGAAATTATGAAGATGATTGTATTCAGCTAGAACTTATTATCGAACTATGGATCTAACTCTCTAACTTACCCAAAGAAAGATGACGGTAAAGAAACCAGCAAAGACATTCGGCCCAAGCGTGTAGACAAATCGCTGATTAGGATACTTGTTGTACTTGTAGTCGAAGGCGATTTCTGATGTGAAAATGCAGGTCACTATTGTGGTCAAAACTCCGGCGAGAAATTGAAGTGCTGCAGTGAGAAGGCCAAGGATTGACTTCCCGTAGCGGCTGATTCCCGGCATATTGATACAATCGAGGGAGAGGAGCGCGGGATAAATTGAGAGGAGACTAGAAAATGGAAATCAAGGAAGAGAGGGGAAGATACCTGAATGCGAGGGCGAGGCACATGAGACTTCTCATGACGGCAAGATTTGTTGGAATTCCAAGAATGGATTTTTGATAGAAATCGCATTGAAAACGCATTGGATTTGGCTTCATGCATCGGTTCCACAGTCCGTCGAATGACATCATTCCTGTTTTTGATAAAAAAACACAATTTTTCAAAATTAATCATTCAAGAACACCGATTTTCGAGATCTTTTATGTTGTCCATTTTTATCAAGTTCCTTTTGTATTCGCAGCATTTCCGCTTTGATCGGCAATTTTCCATCCCGGATAAATGGTCAAGTAAAACAATAAAATCGTATTTCCAAAAACAAGGAACCACCCGAGAATCGGCAATTTTCGTTGAAGCGGGAACGGGACTTTGTATAAATTTCTAGCGACTTCTTCCAATAAAGCTGCTTGTCGATAACCCTTGTCTTTTTTGAGCATTTTCTCTTTTCGAAAAAAAAATTCTCTGAAACCGAGTGTTTGACAAGAGAATCGTGAAGCTGCTTGTAAAATACTCATGACTTTGCAAATAGCAAAGATCGGAATGAAAAACAGAAAGAGCTCTCTCTCAATTTTTCGAAAGATTAAATAAATTTATTGTATTTTGAAAATATTCTGAAGTGATTTATGTTTAGAAATCATAGAAGAGATTTTCCTCAAACGGGGTCATTATAATGACGAAAGACAATTTAGCCTCTTGATTTGAAAAAAAGCACGATGACTTGAAACAGTGACTCCTTAAACCACAAAAATCTGTGATTCTGGTTGATTTGGACGTGGCAGTGAGGGATGACCCGCATGAATTCTTGATTCTTGCGAATAAAAAGCTACTTGGATGGTTACATCTTCGCCAAAGTCAGATAGACAAATGAAAATTGTGTACTTATTTTTCGCAATTTCGAATGCTTTTGTAAGTCTCTATGCCTTACACGAAGCTTACACCAGCTGCTTTAAAAGTGAGTTTTTTTTTATAAAACTCTAAACAGAGATTTTTAGAACTTTTGTTTGGATTGAAGAGTGGGAAATACAGGCACCTTGATCTTTCGATGGAAGCTTTGGAGGGCATTTGTGAGCATTACATGATGAGCTGGATCAAGGAAGAAAATCCCAAACACACTGAAAATGATGAACACTCGAAGATGCTCGGCTTTCTTGGCAATTTCATGGAGAAAAAATCGACTTTCTAGTTAAACTAACAGTTTTATTTGCCGCATATAAATGCTCTCATTCGTAATACAATCAAGTTTAAATGATTTGTTAATTGGTATTCTATTCTGAGAAGAGTTATTCATAATTTTCTTATCCAAAGCCTCGTTGTTTGTTCTTCAAAAAGACCAATTTGCTTTTGTGCACAAGACTGTTCGATTCCATCTCCACTCATTTTTCAAAAGAAGCATAGCAAATAATTTCGTAAAATGAAAGTTTTGAGCCATCCAGAAGAATTGACAAGAGATAAGGTGACGATATGGCTGGAGAGTTTTTCTGAAAAAATTGAGTAGAGAAACTACTAGAGGCGATTTGGATAGATTAATTTTGTCAGTTGAGAGAACGGATTTCGAGGATCAAAATTGTGCTGTATGGACTGAGGTCATTTTTGAAAACGGAGAAGGAAAGATTACCTACGATAGATATGGCGAAAATGCAACAAAAACGTGGAAAATCAGCCCTTTCCAGAGAAAAATTTTAGACGCGAATATAGATTTTGAAGGCAAGAAAATACAGCGATCCGAGTTGAAAGAAGAAAATGGACAATGGTCCCTTGATTCTTCTCTGTGCATGATTTCATCAGGAGGAGAAGCAATCGTTTTGAAGGAAAAATTTGATGACCTTGAAGTGGCCGTTCGCGTTCAACTTTTTGATTCAGCCATTTTTACTCAAAATAAGAATGAGCTTGACTTTAAAATTCATTTATCGAAAGGTAATCATGTATTTATCTTCTAGTATTGATAGATTTTAGACTACGATATCGCTGAATCCAGGGACGATGAGAACGAAACAATACCTTTCAATGATAATATCGTTAAAAATTTTGCGAATGTCGAGCTATTCTCTGATAAAAACAACGAAGAGTACGACTGTCTTGGGTGGATCACAATAATGGAATTCTGCGAATTTAGTTTAAGGATATAGGCTATATCATATAGCCTATGAAATTGAACTTTCATAGCGCCTAAATGCGACGTCGGATCATTTTATTTCAAAAACAATCCTACCTAAAAATGTATGCAGAAATCGATTCTGGTACTTTCTTAAAAATTTTCATCAGAATTTTTCTCTGTATAGCGTTTTGAAATCTTACGATCGCGATTTCTCGAAATTTTTACATTAAATCGCTAAAACTAAACCAATGACTGCATTAGCAAAATGCTTAACTAAAATATTGTGGCTGAAAATTTTTCGAACTCGGCCAAATTTTCATTCTAGTGTTTTCCTCTTTCTTGCTCCTGTTTTTCTTCCATGCGCGCTTTTTTCGGTCTAGCCAATCAGAGCGCACTTTTAAACGCGAAGACTCTCTCGGGAAAGAGGAGTCGAGAGATTGAGCACCCAGCGCAGCGCTTTTTACACTATTCATGCGCTGAGGAAGCCTCATGGAAATGGCTCTAAAATCGGTTTTTGTCAGGGTAAGAGAAAACCGAACCCATAATTTTGTAGATAAGGGTCTAGATTACTTTTTTATCAAAAAAAACTCGACCGATTTAATGTAAATATTTCGAGAAATCGCGATCGTAAGATTTTAAAACGCTCTACAGAGAAAAATTTTAATGAAAATTTTTAAACAAGTACCAGAATCGAGTTCTGCATACATTTTTAGATAGGATTGTTTTCAAAATAAAATGATCCGACGTCGCATTTAGGCGCTATGAAAGTTCAATTTCATAGGCTATATCCTTAAGGCAAAAGCTGAAAGAGGGGAATCTTGATTTAGGAGAAAGGAAGGCTATAGCGATGGGAGTCAAAAACGGAGAAGAATATTTGTCCAGAATCGGAATTTCGCACTACGACCCAAAACCAGACAACATCCTGTTGAAGAAAGAAGCCAATCAAGAACAGGCCAAGTGGATCGACTTCGGCATCACTTATCAGCTTACTGAAAGGAAAAGTTTCAGAAAGATGGGATACGCAAGACATGGAAGCAAATTCAGAAGCCCGACATCTCTTTGTAATTTTTCTCATTAAGGAAGATTCAATTTTATTTAAAGTTGCTGGCTCTGCTGGTTTTTCGGGTGTTGATCAGCTTCTCAGAGGAGGAGCTAATTCTATGGTGGTTGCCATCAGCAGTATTTACATCTTTATTTTGTGCGATTGGGTGACTGCATGGACTCTTTTTTTCAAACCGATAGATGACAATGAAAGAGAGCAAATCAAAAATGAGCTGAAGGTAATTCGAACAAAATAAAGCTCCAAATTTAACTGATATTCAATCAAAGATTTCCAATGATGAGTGGCTCTCGAATAATAAGCCGAAAATGGATCAAATACAGAAACTATCAAAAATCATCTCTTTGAAGAACGTAGCGCCAAATTTATGCCTCGACGATGAAAATTTGACGAAGTCCTCGGTTGTCGCTTATATCAAAGAAAAAATGACGAAACAGATGAATATCAATTTTCAGAATCTCACAACGAATGTGCCTAACCAGAAAGACACCAATCTTTGTGTACCGATTTCTGTCAGTGTTCTTCTTAGATGGGCGTTGAAGAATGACCTGAAGGTTGAAGCTGAGCTGTATGATACAATGTTCATCTTTGAGAATATCTTTATTCCAATCATTATGATCATTTATCCTCGAAGTTTGGCTGGGCTCAATCTCAATCCCAACAACAAGGAAAAATTATTTCAAGAAAACGATATTGAAATGCTGTTAAAAAGCATGAAATGCAAAACCTTTTTGAAACCAAGCGGCTGGGAAACGATCAAACGTTTTTACTTTGGAAAGGCGAAGTTTGATTATCATCAAGGTAAGTTAACTTCAAGCTACAATCGTCATATATTTGCTTTAGTTCTTCTTCACAATAACTTCAAATTCACCAGACCTCTTACAGTAACCGGTGCATATTGGAAGAAAGACGAAGACGTCTTCTTTCACCAAATGATTCTCGACCGTGTTGAAGGGGACGAATACATTCTTCAAAATACTCTCCACTACCATTCTTCAAAGAAAGAAGATTCTCAACTTCGGATCTTCGTTCAGAATCGCTACTACGCGGATAAAAATCTGATGGACGATTGCTTGCAAGCCTATGGTCGTTATGATCTGGGGTCGGCAACTCGACACTAAAATTGACTGTCGAGTCGAGTCGAGTTATAAAAAACTCAACTCGACTCGACTCGACAACTCGACTGTCGAGTTTTTGAGTTGTCGAGTTGCCGACCCCAGGTTATGATTACCACGGACCCAATGGAGAATTTCTTCATCTTGCCAATGAAGAATGTGGAAATATGGACTATGACCAGTGGTACCTACTTCCTCAAGCTTATTCCATAATTCTTACGAAATAAAATTTCTGAGCTCTCTGGATTAATGCTGCTTTTCTACGCAAAAAGGCTTGAGAATAAGTTTTTCGACAATTGAATTTGTTGCAGCTCAGATAAATACCGGTGTGGCAGGTCAGTCATTGTTACTCAAGGGCGGGTAAAGTAGAAGAGGATTGGAATAGTTGCTAATCGAAGCCAGGCCGCAGCTGGCTCGCGCATGCCTTCTTGAATAGAAGAGCTCAAGTGGAACTTGTGTTTGGACAGAAGCGTCGGGGATTTGGCATTATCCAATTGATCAATTTCCTCAAATCAATTGGAAAAATATTTCTAGCTGTATTCAGGTCATACAGACGGCCGCGTTCTTCAGACGCGTTTAAGCCTACCTCAGCTGCGCTCATACATGATTCCGTGTGGTCGGATAATCCGGGATTTTTGGACGCAAGAGGGTCAAGAAATCAAAAAGCGTGGCGAAAAATACTACTCAGAAGCGAAAGCAGTGCTTCGTTCTCAAGCAATTCTAGAGCTTATCTAAGTCGGCAGTCGATTTTTTCTTCAAAGTCGATAAGTTTGGAATTTTGAGTACTTCTGCGAAGCTTGTTTGGCGCACCAAAATCGCGCCAAATTACACCACTCAACGCGTCACATTTACACAGCCGAAAGGAACCTAATTACCCGACCCGGCGGAAACAAAGAGAGCCGAAAATTACTCCTTGGAAAATCAATTTGGAGAAAAAATGGTTTTTGAAAATTTTAATTATTTTAATCCATCTTTTTCTTTTTTTAATTGAAAATGTGATTTTCTGATAAAAAAAAGCCCTTCAATGCTCATTTTTCTTCAATAAAATTTGCTATCTTCAATATCAGCTAACCTCTTCAAGCCTTGAATCAAGGCCCTTGATGCTGGTATTTATTCGCTGGTACTATTTTTTGAAATTAAAAGAGCTTTGTAAGGCTTGTTTATAAAACTTGTTTGCTAGTTGGCCACGTCGGTCGAACTGAAAACAAGAAAAACGCTGGACAATGCTCACGTGCTCTTAGTTGCTCATTCATCCCTCAACACGAATTTCAAGTACCGTGCCTGCATTTTTTTCCTATTCAACAAAATACCATCCATCAAGAAAACGCTTCTTCAAATTCAGGTCGTTAATAAAAGATAACACCTCGCGCTGCAGGAAATGTTTGAGCGCTCCAGTTTTGGAAGTTGCGAAGTCGCGATTTTGAAATTGATTTATAATCGAGACTCCAAGAGGAGCCGCCCTGTTTTGCGCATATTTGCTTCTCCTACTTGGGTGGCTTTAAAATTGTAATTCTCAAGTGGTTTTATTATCATCAATTAAAATATGGATTGTTTAATTTTGAGCCGCTCTAGTGTTAGAGTTATCTTTGTGACCCCCTTATTTTTAAACCAAGAATTTCAATAGAAAATTCGCTTAAAAAAGCTAAAGTCATTTTCGATAATAAATCAAACTCTCCAGCGATAGACCCTTAACCTTTGAGCCGGCTTGTCTTAACTTTAACTTGGCAGTATCCAAGTTTCCGCCGCGCGTAGATGGTAATTACTCCCCGCGATCGTAACTTGTTGCAATTATTTTCTGCATGAATGGGCTAAAAGACTCACACTCGTCAAAAATACCGAAAATTGGAGGCAAAGAAAAGAGAAAATACAGAAAAGAGGTAAATGAAGGAAATAGAGTCTATATGCACGAATTATAAACCTTTATATCGCCCCTGAGCGCGAAAATGCTAATTGATCCGCTGGGCAAACTGGTTCTCAAGAGCACGAGCACCAAGAGCGTGTTTTTAAGGGAATTAAGCGGAGATTAATATGGGTTAATAAGGGGCTTCTGTACTGTTTACACTACATTAACCTTCGCCCGGAATATCTTCCATGAAAATGTTTGTTGGAGATCGAAGTAAAAGATCTTAACTCCCTTGAATTGAAGTTAACCCCTTTAGATTCATATGGTCTTTTTATCGACTTCCGGTGACATTCCCCTTAACTTTGCCGTTAACTTTCCCCCTTTCATTGCCAATTTGCAACGGATAAGTCCCGTCGGTTAAAAGGTCCCCCTCTGTCGCCGGAAATGTACAAATTATCTGCCATATTGCCCAAGAACACTGATTCTAACCGAGATCAGTTTCGCTTCCAGCTGCGGCGGAAAATCGGAGGAGTGGATGGCGCGTGAGTGCGCCGCGCGGATGCGCCACCGCCGCGCCATCCCGCTTATGCGCTGCGCTAAACATACGGATAGCGGCAACGACCTGAAATATTGTTCTAACGGGATTTATTTTTTATAGAACACGAATTAGTTTCAAAGAGAGATTTATCAAAAACACGTCAAAAAATACTAAAAGAGATCATCAGAAAACTTCAGTAAAGGTAATTGAAAGAGAATTAAATAAAAAATAATCTGAATATTTTTCAAATAAGTTGATACCGTAAATCTTATGATGAAGGACCCTTGCAATTATTTTGTTCATTTTCCTCTGAAAATTATTTTGGAATCCTCTCAAAAAGCCATTTATAACTGAAAATAGAATCCCTCTTTGTAATCCAAACAAGGTCCAAGTTCCTCCCTCTCAGACCCGCTCAGTGCTTCCCAATCCATATCATCTCATCCAGCGAGCAGTAAGGGTATCCACCCGTGATCTTCTCCTTCCCACGTGATCAGTCAAATTTGAGGTTCACGACCTGGGTTTATCTATTTTCGACAGGCGCGGAAATCCGAGGAAAATTCGCCTTTTTCGGTTCCAAATTTAGATTGATCTTTTTCGGCCAAGAATTAGGGCGGGGGTACTTTAATACGGGGTTATTTATAATCAGAGCTTCGGATCATGCCGGGTTTGTATATATTCCGAAAATATAAATTATAAACGGGGAGAATCGCGGAACGAGAAGAATTCAAGTGGGTGTCAGAAATGCATGTATCTGGCCGCAATTTGTAGCACGAGCGTAAATAATGGCGGTCGAGTTTTCTTCATTCCCGTTCCACTTCACAAACGCGTCTGATCTCGAGCAGAACGACGAGTAATTAAAAAGATTTATATACTATTAAAATCGCTTCCCGAATATTTATGCTCAGGAAATGAATATTAAGGGTCGGCCTTCCGCTCAACTCATAATTGAACATCATCATTTTAAGGGGATACCATTGACTATCGCTCGAATCTGGCAGGCATTTGATTTAAGGGCTCCTCCTCTAAAAAATCTCAAACAAAACTTATCAAATTAAGCCAAAACAGTCGACAAAAATCAGTGTTTGCCGACAAGTGTTTATGTATTTTACAAATTTTTCCTAAAATACCCCTCTCAATTGCTTCAAACACTGTTTTTACTTTCCATTCAACAAGAGTTGTTATTTTGGAAACACGTTTTCTGGCAAGCTTTTTTTTCTTGACTGTTTTGTCAATTGAGTCAAAGTTACTCGAATGGAAAACCAGAGCTCTCGTGGAGAATTTGGCTTCCATGGATGAAATTAACCTAAGAGCATTAGCAGACCCCTACTGGTTACTTTTATCGGGCAAGGTTCCCATGGAGGGATTAAGGGGGGCTCGATACATATTTGAAAGTATTTAGGGTTATCGATTGGGAAAGCCTTAATTCTCAGAAGGCCTTTTTCATATTCTTGACTTCTTTTTTTTTGAACAATGGGTAGACACTTGAATTTGTGAAAGCCTTCTTTGAGCTGATGCCCTTAATTTTCTCCCTTTCGGAATTTCCTCGGCTCACGTGACCTTCCCTAAATATTTGCCTACTTAACTTGGCGAAGTGTGACCGGACATCTGCTGGTTTAGTTACTTATCTTATGCCATATTTATCCTTTCTAATCCGAGCTTCTTCTCTTTTCGGTCGAGATTCTAGAGCTCCGGTGCTTCAATATCCGCTGTATAAATCATTCGAATCAAGTGGCTTGTGGAATCCTCTTGATCCAAAGCAAGGGGTTCAAGAGGTCAAATTCGGAGCCTCCTTAATTCTAGCGGCTTATCCGATTTCAAGATCGCTGCGATTTTCGCGCCCCGAAAATAGGATCAAAAAAGATGCACCTGCCTCAAAGTGTTGAAAAAATTGTTGATTTTCGACAACTCGGCGGGTCATTAAACCCATCTTTTGACTGATTACGGGGCTAAATGGGGTTAAATCGGCGGCGGGGTACTAATTTAAGGGTCTTATCGATTTCCTGAAGAAATAACTTTGGCAAAATAAGCGGAGGGGAAAGAAATATGCGTAGAAAACCGAGTCAGAATCTGAAACAGTAAATATTCTTTGTTCTGGTTCAGGAAGGAGGGGCAGATTAATCTCTCGTGAGACTGCTAGAAGAGCTCCTTGGCCCCTACTTGAGCGGGTTATCACACAACGCTCGGCTACACACTAAATCATACTGAATCCAAACATGACCTTATGCTTCAATTGCTCCTTAGACTTCTCGATTCTTGAAGACCTTGGAGAAAGGGGAAACGAAACAAAACAGGCGATAAAGAATAAAACTGCTAAAGATAAGAGAAGGAGCAGATTTGAGCTCATATCGCGCTCCAGATGGCAGCTTGGGCGCTTTTTATCGAGCGGGATATGAGATTTTTATTTTTCCAATTTTATGGTCGTCCAAAAATTGCTCTTTTATTTGTGCATTGTTGACGAAAAAATGTGCTTCAAAGATGTCACTTGCGCACAAGGGGGTTAAAATTTTAATTAAACTTTAAAAAGCGCCTAAACTTTTTGGGAAAGCCTATCAGCTGATCTCCTTGTTCCCGACTTCCTGTTTGAGAATGGGCTCCGGGGATGATTAGTCGGGAAGGGGATGAGCATAATTTGGAATTCATTTCGGAAAGGACTATTCAGCACCAGTACTTTGATGCTTCTCTACGCCACTTTTGCGCCTCTTGTTTATGCATTTTCTGTCTTCTTTATGACTCATTAACGACTTTTTCAAGCATTTTTACGCATCAAAAATTCCTTCAGTTAACATTGACCCATCCTTAGTTTCTGTGAAAACCTCCTGAATCAAAGCTGCATTATCAATTTTATTCAGCCCTGCAGCTTTCCATATTGTCTTAAAATTCAGAGCCGCTGAAAACAAGACAGTCATCCCATTTCCCTGCCAGCTCCTTCTGATCCCTCAAATCTTTTTACGTGTTCTATTTCGCGGCGCCAAATTACGCGTCAAATTAGCCCAAGCGCGTTTAGTACCACTTTTTTCTTGCGCCGCCCACAACAATCAGAAAGACTTGAAGCGGCAAAATCAAACCCTTTTTTTGCAAATTTTCTGTTGGGCGACAAATTCTAGAGATTTGTAACTAGCGGCTAAAGAGTGATTTTGTGGGACGGGGGCACGCCTAGTGTTGGTATTCTTGAGCAAGGTTTTTATTAATTTTAATAAGAGAAAACGATGATTGCCAAATTTTTATGATAATGACTCATCAGAATTTTATCTAACCCTTTCATTTTAGAATCATGAAGATGCTGATATTCTCCCTTCTTCTCTACCAAAACTTTGCGCTAAAGCTGTCCTACGACATATCCGACGGTGCTAAAAGAAATTCCTACCTAGGAAATATCGTCCAAGATGGTCAAATTCTTGAAGCTTCGTCGGATGCTACATTTTCGACTGTGCGCGGCGAGGAGTTAATTTTTGTGGAGACGAAGACTGGAGATATAAGAACCAGTTCCGATGTGGATAGGGAAAAATTGTGCAAAAAGAAGAATAATGTCTGTATAATTACAGGAAAGGGATGACATTTTTTGACGAAAAAATTTGCGAGAGTCACGGGAAATCACTAAATTTTCCGTGAAAATGATCGTCGAATAAATCCTCATCCTTGCTAAAAGCGGAAGTAATCGTCACGCCTCAAGAAATTTTCCAATTGATCACCCTTGAGCTTACCATCCTGGACCTGAACGATCACGCACCTCGATTTCCGTCGCCCTCATTAACCCTCAAAATCGCGGAAGACGAAGCACCTGGCGCTGTTTTCCGACTTGATAGTGCAGCTGATGAGGATTCGGACGAATTCGGCATTGAGGCGTATTCGATTGAGCCGAAGAATGGACAGTGGGCGAATTTCTTTGAGCTGTTTGTTGACGACTACGGAGGGGTAAGTCCTTTCTCGCTTTTTTGCGCCTAAAAGTCATTTTTTCATATTCGTCTTTTAGATTCTCGTCCCGAAACTCAAGCTCATCAATCCTCTTGACTATGAAAAGCTCCAAAAACTAGAATTTTCCCTCGTCGCTACGGACAAGGGCCTTACCCCGCTTTCTGGATCTATGGAAGTCTTTATCGAAATCGAAGACATCAACGATCATTCTCCAAAATTTTCTCAGCCGCGCTACATTTTGAACATTTCCGAAATGAGTCACAAAGGCGACTTGATCCTCCGCCTCAAAGCAACTGATGGAGATCGATCAGTAGAAAACGGCAAGATACAGTACGAGTACACGAATCAGGTGCCCGATTATCTCAGAGACATTTTCTTGTTGGACAAATCTACTGGCTACGTAACAATCGGTGCTGAGCAATTAGTCGACTACGAAATTTTCGACAAAGTTTTGCTGCATGTCAAGGCCACAGATGGCGATAAAGAGGATTACGCCACGATCGAAGTAAACGTGCTCGATGCGAACGACAACGCGCCACGGATTGATGTCAAATTTGTCGACGGCGGCAGATCGACCGTCAGAGAGGATTTGGCTGTGGGCAGCTTTATTGCTTTCGTCTCTGTTACTGATGATGATCTTGGACCGGCTGGAGAGGTCAACCTTACACTTGAAAACGAGGAGGATCAAGACTTCAAACTCGTTCCTGTTCAAGGCACAGTCGATCGATTCATGCTCACAATCGCCAAGCCTCTCGACCGTGAAATCAAGGAAGAGTCCATCCTTACCCTCATTGCCCGCGACAACGGAACAACTCCCCAAGAAACCCTCAAAGCCGTCAAAATCCGAATCGAAGACGTAAATGATAATGCTCCTTCTTTCAAACATAAAATCTACAATGGCGAAGTCTTGGAAAACAACGAGATCGGAGACACAATCGTTCAAATCACCGCTTTTGACCCAGATCTTGGCGAGAATGCTGAAATCACCTACACAATTGAAGACCACGAAGATCTTTTTTTCATCGACCCGGAAACTGCCGATCTCAAAGCTCTCATTTCATTCGACGCGGAAGCCTACCCCGACCCTATTTCCATCACCATCATTGCAACCGACAATGGGCTACCCCGACAATCAGCAACAACCACCTTCATTTTGCAGATCAAAAATATCAACGACAACTCACCCGTATTCAAATATCCCTCGACAACAGTCACGATCAAGGAAAATGAGCCAATCGGCACTTTTATTACCCAACTCGAAGCAACTGATGCAGATCTTGACGACACAATCGTCTATTCCTTCAAAACCCAGACCTCCTTTTTCTCTATCAATTCCAAAACTGGCACCATAAAGACGCTCAAATCCATCGACAGAGAACACGACCAAGCTCGTTTTGACCTGGAAGTTTCCGCATGTGATTCGAACAATCTATTTGCGTTTTCCTCAGTGACAGTTCTTGTTGAAGACATAAACGATAATGCTCCAAGGATCATCTGGCCAATGTCAGAAACAGACGTCGTTCAAATAATGAGAAATGAGAGCGCAAAAGATGTGATTATTGGAACTATCGATGTCAAGGACTACGACTCTGGAAATGCTGGAAAAGTCAATTGTGCGCTTGAAAAGAATCATAAATTTCTCTCCATCTCTGATTGCCGAGTTATCCTCACCCGCGATTTGACCCGAAACGACGATGGGCTCCACAGCCTGAGAATAATTGCCAAAGATAATGGTGTTCCACAGCTTTCTACCTCAAAGCAAATGAATATTTTCGTCACCAATGAGCTTCTCAACGACACTGCACTAGAAGAAATTATGGGCGAGATCCGAATTGTGCCGGAAAAGCTGATCAGTTTCAATGGAGGAAGCATCTTACTGTTGGCGTTTGGTGGAGCAGTCACTTTCGTGCTGTTGATGATTATTGTTGCTTCGATTGTTTGCGCTAGGTAAGCTTTTCATTCATTTCATAATTCCATTTTTTGTTCAGACAACAACGCGAAAAACAGCTTCAACTCTCCTCAACTCCGAAGAAATCTCCAAGAACTCCTCCCCAGCACTCTCCCGCTCGAGAATGGCGCATGGACGTCATGTGGGAATCTCCTTCCCGCAGCGCTGGAATTCCTCGAAGCCTTTGCGAGCCAAACAACGCGACTGACAGCCTCAGTTACGTCGACTCCGGCGCTGGCGAGTCCTTATCCGATCATGTAAGCTCCAACGCTGCCCAACTGCTCGAAGAAGGACAGATGGTGGATTCAAACGGATTGTACAAAGCTCCGTTGATGAAAAAGCCGAGCTTCAAAACATTCGTCGACGAAGTTGAATCTGATCGAAAAAGCATCGAGCTTTTTGACGAAGACAACTATGTTCCAAGCTATTATCATTGAAAATAATGCTTCTTTTCTTCATCCTTCTTTGTGTAAATATCGAAACTAATAAAGATAAATTTACGTCGAAAAAATATTGAGAAAACTGCGCCTTTGACCGACACTTCTTGACCTTTGACAAGACCAAACATTTAATAATTAAAGAATTTGTCTCAATTATATTTTTAAATGAAGTGTATAACAACAAACACTTCCGCATGTATGAGTTGCTTTAATAATTGTTAAGATGAGAATATAAAAATTCAAGTCTGAGGCGAACTGACAAATTTTCTCCGAAAATGAATCTGATGATTTTTCTTTTTGCTCCAATGTTTGCATCATTCATGCACATATATGTCAAGAGACACAGTGACAAAATCGAAGATCAGGAAGATCTCAATGCCCTTCGAGATAAGCTCCGAGACATTTTTGACACGACTCAACTTTTTTACGCACTTGACTACATCTGAGCACTTTGACCCAACAAATCAACCCTCCAAATCCCTTCAAAAAAAAAGAGAACGATAACAAAAAATCTTCATGTTACAGTCAAAATTAAAAAAATAAAAATGCATGCAGACAGTCGAATATTAAAAGTCAAAGATGAGCCGCCACACTATTGCCGATTTCTTGAAGCATTCTTTCAGCCTCTGTCTTTTCAGCCTCTTGTTTCGCTAATTTCGCTCGTCGTCGACGCATGTACGCGTTTTTCGCACGTCCAACGACGGTTTCTTTCATTCCACTTCGGATGCTTTCGATTTCGGCCGGAAATTTCAGCCCTTTTTTCTGCGGCTTTTTGATGAGCGGGAAGACGACGATGAAACCATTGTCTTCTTTTGCGGCTTGATGCTCGATGCAAAAGGGCTCCACGTGATCGGGAATTTTCTGAGAGTCTTTTTGGCGCCAGAGGGCGATAAGTTCGTCAGCATCGTACTTTTTGAAGTTTAAAAAAAATATTTCCTTAGTAAAAGAACTATTTTGTTTTTTGAAAACTAGCCTTGATGATGCTCGAGCAGCAGTCATTTTTCTTCATCGCCCTTGGCTTCCCCTTTCTTCTTCTAGCGCGGCGTTTATCTGGTTCTTCGCCACGCTCGTTCGGCAAATTTATCGGTTGATTTTCACGAGGGGAAGTTTCGGAGCTGCTGGTGAACTGCTTGGAGATCTTTTTCGACTCTTTTTCCTTGCCCATCTTTACTCGCGCCTTTAAAATGCTTTTCAAATAAAAAAGTCGTCGTCCTTACCTTTCGAGCTTTTTGATGCACTGAAATTTTTGAATGTTTTTATTTTCGAGGAGAGTGGCATTCTAGAGAAACGGAGATACGACGATTGTAATAATTAATGAAGGATAAGTTGAAAAGACTATGTGTAATCTTGGATTTTGGAACGTATTAGCATACATTTTTTATTCATAAATCGTGGATTTGACTCGTTCCCGTGAGCATTATCATAGTGATACAGTCTGTATGCAACAAATCAGTAAAAGAGAAAAAATATGACAGAAATGAGGACTTATCTGCACGGTTATTCGAAAATGGTCTTATCGAAAAAAAATTTGCAACGATTAATACCAAAGATAAGCCCCAGAAAAGACTTTACCGCGGTGGGAATCTGAAGAAATCGTCAAATTGAGTCCTTCAATGACTGAGCTTAGCTGCAATGGAAAACAAGTGAGGTACAAGCAGAACGATCCGTCTGGCGTGATGGTTTTCCTTCTAGAGCTGGTTTTCTTGCTCATACAAACAAAATTCACTTCAATTAATAAAGCCAAGAAAAGTCCTTTCAGTACTCCTGGCATTCTACTCTGCTGTGGCGATATTTTTTGCCGTCCAGCTCGGAAAGTTATTTCGAGAATTTGACTTTGAAAAGCGTTTCAAGTCTTTCAAACAAAAAATTAGAATAGAAAATGTAAAACGCTGAAAATTAGAAAATCCCGTCAACGACATGCATTCATTCTAATAAAAAGCCCATATTTTATTAAAGTGTCAGTTCTTAGCATTTTCCATGATGAAGTTTTGATTTCACAAATCTTGTTGTTGCATTGTCGTGATTGATTATCTCCAGGTTGATGAACTGTTGATAGAGAACCTTCGCGTTGTCCGATGTTCCGAGCTCGATTGAGAATTCTTGAATGTCGTTTCCGTCGTAATCTCTTCGCTCAAGAAGGTATTGGAACTTTTCTCCGGAGCTGGTCATTTCTCCTTGGACACTGACCGTGATCGAGCCACCTGTTTCAATGGTGAGCGCCAAACAGCGCTTTCCATAAATCGTAATTGGTGGAGATTTCGTTGTTACAACTCCTCTTGAGTGAATCTTTCCATTTTCGTCGAAAGTCAAGTCATTTACAACAGGAGAATAGAAACATCGCTCAAAGCTTCTCAACTTCTCCATGTCGCAATTCAACCATTGTCCAGTAGCGTCTTCAGCAGAAAAGACAAGCTTGACACTGTCCTCATGGACAAAGTCATAGCTATCGAATTGTTCGAAGCTCATGTAGGTGTTGTAACCATAGCCAGTTCCTCTACGGTAGAGGCTCTACCAGTGGATGGATTTTCCCAGTCGGAAGCGCCCCATTGATCGCTAGTCACGTACTGATATCGGTCGGCTATTCGATCTCGGCATGTCTTTCCTGGCTCCACGAAACCAGCAGAAAGGTACTAAAAAAATGGCCCATTTGAAATGGGCTAGAAAATAATATCAATCTCTTACTCTGCCCCAAATAGGCCATTGTAGTTTTGAATCATTTGGGCCGCTCACAAGCGACATGAACAACGAATAGTACCCGTGTGTTCCCGATGTCCCGTTCGGAAAGAGCTTGAGGCTCCATTTATATCCAGCTTCATCTATAAAAGCCTTTTCAAGTGATCGACCATTCGTATATGTTGATTTTCTGAAAAATGTTGAACTAAAAACTGAAAATAGATTTTCTCAAACATGTGATTCCAATTGTTGATTTCCCAGATGAACTTGTCCTCGTCAGTTGGGCAAAGACCTGTTCTTTTTTCTTTGCGTCCTTGCGAGTCCTTCGCCCATTTTGTGCACTCGATCTTGACCGGAACTTCTTTCATTTCGGTTCCCGTCCACTCTTCCCAAGAACTGCTGATGTCCTCGACGCAAAATGCAGCATCGTACGCTCCTCCTCTTTCACCGGTCGTAATTTCATTGTCATCTCGACAAGTCCATTTTGGTTTTGAGCCATATTTTTTAAAATTGATGTAGCGAGGACCGTAATATGAATCGGTAACGAATGAATTTTTTCCATTTGAAATCGAGTCGAATTTGTAGCTGCCATTACACGACCACTGAACACTGAAGCCGGAGACAGAGAATTCTTGACACTTGCACTGAGAGATGTCTGTTTGACCTTCTAAATCTTCATACATCTTGTCCAGAATGGCCATGTCCTGCGAATTCGCTGTCAATCGCTGTCCGATCAAGTCGAGATATTTCGGATCCTTCGGAACAATCGTATCGCCGTTTCCATTTGAGTACGAAACCTTATCGTAATGCATGATGGACAAGTAATCGTAGGGAAAGTCAAATGTACTCTGAGAGATGTCGTCATCAGCGGCAAGGGCGTATTTGAAATTTTCTTGGATATTATTCTCAAAAACAGTGATATAATTGTCTCTATCGTGTCTTTGGTGCGTGTGAGCGACTCCCAGAGTATGAAACAGCTCATGAATCGCGACTCTATAGTTGAATTAAAAAAGAAATATAATGATAAGCTCGACATACGACATCCATCCACAGCCTCTTGCCAACGATAAAGGCTGTTCTCCGCCGACCCTTCCTAGCCAAGCTGAGCAGCCAGCGTCTGTTTTGGTTGTGACGTAATCTTGGTCTTCAGCTTTTTTTGGCCGCAGCCATGCAAGTCCTTTCTCTTCAAGTTCTCGCATCGCTTGGAAAATTGAAGCACTAAAGTAACTAACTCACAAAATTTTACAATTTTATACAAACCTTGCTTCTTGAGAAAGAATCGGGTTAATCTCAATCGGAATCGTTCTATTTTCCCATCTGAAAACCGGATCAATTTGTCCATGACGACTCGATTTTCTGACGGAGTCTTCCGTGACACCAGCCCGTGCATTTATTTCCGAAATAGACTCTGGTACAATTTCTGGAAAAGATGCTTCATTGTGGAGCACTTTTGAACTCGCAAATTCGACTGACCAAAAAGCTGAGGGAAAGATCTTCATTTTGAATCTGAGAATTTTTTTTTTGTTTTTGAAGATCGTTTTGCAACAGATCTTTGATTCCCATGAATAAAAATTCTTTATGAGAATAATAGCATCTGCTTATTTTTATTTCTCAAAAGATAGAAACAAGGTCAAACTTATTATGTTTTAGTTTTATTCGGTCCATGCAGCGAAACTTAAATATGAAATAATACAGCGGCAGATACAGTTTTGAGGTGTTTTGAGAATTAATCGTAATGGTCATTGAAGTTTGTAGGATTGCACAATGAAGTTGAGGTAGTACGACACTGCAAATGGCAAAAGAAAGATCAAGACGAGGACTAGGCCGACCTGAAAAAAAGGGTAAATATTTGACGTCAGTAAAATGTTTATGCAAAGTTTGAGACCGCAATGAAAGTTGCACAAAATCGAATTACCTCAAGTTTGCAACGATTTGTGTGGGCAGGCATCATGTCTTCCATGAGTTCGTTGACCTGGCCACCCTGAAAATAAATGTCAGGAGCTGAAATTTTGACCCTTTTAAAAATCGGTCATTTTTTCACAAAAAATATTCATAATATTTGATCACGCTCTCACCTTATTTCTGAACGGAAATTCCGCATCCGGCTGTTTCAATTCCAAAAATTTGATGAGAGGCGCCCATCCATCCTTGACATTCATAACGAGCAGCCTCTCTTTCGGGCAGTATCGATTGACGTACGCATTATGTTCTCGATATTTGCGCCTGAAAACATGATTTTTTAGTCATCGTTGATTTTCGCTGTTGATCACTAACTTGTAAATGCTTTCGTTGTTGACATTGTCGAAGTCTTGCACGAGCGGGTGGAAGTTGCAGTTGCCAAATACGAGCATGTGGTATGGAAGTGTGAGGTGTTTTTCGGTAAGATAGCCATAAGGTGTTAAATAACCCAGGTAAGCGAGTTTGCCAACCCACCGAACGATGCCTTTGTAGAACTTGACGATGCTTTCGTACCACTAGAATCTGTTTAAAAACAGCAAAAGAGCTCTTTTCCTACCTTATCCTCATTGTCTCTCATCGTCAAAATGACTTTCGCGTCCGGCCAATACTTGCTCATTTCTTCCCAAAAGTAGTTTGCAGGGCCATCAACAACGACATCGACTTTTTGTCGATCATATTCTCTGCAGACATCTTCGATAGTTATTTTGCCCTTGAAAAAGTCCATCCAAGTGTTTCTCATGTACATGTAAACTTCTCCAGCATCGTAAACTAAAAATTACTATATCAACTTGATTTTTGGGCTCTAGAAAAAATATTCACGAAATGAATATTTGAAAAACCATATTGTTTTATATTGCTAAAAAGTTATTATCTTTTTGTATTGAAAATATGCTGAAGAAACCAATTATCATAAAAGCATAGTTATATATCAATCGTTACCTTTATATCCAAGAATTTCTAGCGCTCTGCTCAGCGACTTTGTTCCGGTCTTTTGAAACCCAGCGCAAATTATCTTCACCATGTTCTTTTTTTTCTTTAAAATTCAAAAGGATTTATTTTAATCGTATTCTTCGTTGTTCCGTTTTTTTTGGAGAGCCTCTCTTACGGCAGCCGCTAAATACTCGTCAACGGAAGAAAATGTAAATATTGTATCATTCACAGGGCAAACACAGCGTGCTTGATGGTTCATTAACACGAGAACTCATCATCACTGGAATAGGAATGACGAATTGAAGATTTGTAATTTATGATTATTTGTCTCGAGTGTTTGGATTTAGTTAGTCTGATTGTCTGAATGGTCAGAGTTGAGAATACAAATGTGAGTTTGGGTCGTGTTTAGACTCATAAAGCTTTTTGCGGTTGGTTTGCTATTTGAAGAATATGTTATGCTTTGCCGATCACAAAGGCGAGTCTATGAGATAACTTCCGTTTGAGGCAAGAATTTTTCCGACTAACAACCGCTTCGAAATAAGTTAATAAAAGCATTACATTTTAGCCAATTTAAATTATTTTGAGTTTATTTTTCTTTAATAATAAGGGTCAAGCCATGATTAATAACGAAGAAAATCTGACTAAAACTAGGTTTTAATATGGGGATATCCAGGATAGGCTATCGTTAATCTTACCTTCTGCCTAGCCATTATGATTGATTGTGTCCTACTTCTCAGCGTTCAAAATTTTCCTTTCTTTTCTGTCATCTTAGAAATCTCAATTGAGCTTTACGATGAGAGCGTAATTGAACTAAAAGTCAATTGCCCCAAGCTCGTCCCCATTCTTCCTCATTCACACAAAAGCTCTACTCTGTTATTCTTTGCACTTCTTGACTTTCAGAATCAAAAATTAAAACTTGACTTCAACGAAAATTTGTATTTCAGAAAATTTTCTTCTGAAAAAGTTTTGCAAACAACCTTGCTTGAGGTCAGTTCTATTTTGAGCTTTCTTGTGACAGATGATCGCCCGAGGAGACCCACCCTTAATTCCAGAAGCCATTTTTAGACTTGAACTTTCTGAAAAAAGATGCACCGGAAAGATCAGCCAGAATGACCTGTTGGAAAATTGACGGCATCTGAATCTTCTAGTGTTGTAGAAAGGTGGGGGCAAACAATGAAGGGTGGGTCAGAATCCGGAAACAGATTGACTTTGACGTATTTTACTGCGTTGGTGATTAGTACCAATGCAGATTTACGCATTAAGGCAAACAATAAGGTGGCAAACATTCTATTTACGTTCATTTTTGACCGTTTTTTCGACTGTTTAACATTATGACACCCTTATTTTTTAAATTGAAACTACTGATGCTCCTTAATTTTGATTTTTATAGCAAAATTCAACCAATACATGAGGATAGTAAACGAAAAGGGAAAGAACAAATTTATAAACTCTGGAATGAAGGTTTATTTTATGTACAGTTAGTAATTCTTCGGAAAGTTTATCAAGTGCAAAGCTTGTTTCGAGCTGAGGAAAGAGTGTTTCTTTTACCAATATGTACAGTTGTCAATTTTGAATTTTACAGTAGAGCGCTGTAGACTCTACAGTGTAGAGGGAAATATTTAGTGCTTCTTTTTCTTCCCCTCAAGAAGTTTGATTTTGCGCTCTTGCGAGTTGACCTTGTTTTGCAGTTTCTTCACTTGATTCATCAAAAATCCGAGAAGATCATTTTGCCGATTAATGCGACCCTAGGAATTATGGCTTAGGAAAACGATGAGACAAAGAGCAAACAAACCTGCATGCCTTTTCCAGTTCGTGTTTGGACATTCATAAAGTGGTGCAGCTCAGTCGATGATTTTGTCGCTGAATAAGAATTACTAATACGATAATTAAAGAAAACCCTCTACCTTTTGATTTTGCCTCCTGAGCCGCCTCAGCTGCGTGGGAGAGCTCAACTTCTAGCGCTGCTCGATTTTGAACGACTTCGTCTTCCACCGCCTCTAAATTTTCTGAAAAATGGTCGCTTACCTGTTCGAGATTTGTCAGCTTCATATCTAAGAGCATATCCTTATTATGAAGCTCTGCAGTGTCCTGATGAAGATCCGTCGCCAAATGACCAAGCTCGGACTCCGTGTTTTTCATCTCTCGACTGACTACGGTCATGTTGTGGGTCAAATGCTTCATCTGACGGTCCACGTGATTTGTTTCCATGTGGATTGATTCGATTTCTCGAGCTTGAGAAGATACGTCGCTCTCGACGGAGGCGAGAAGATCGTCCATTTTGCGGATTTGACCCTGGGCATTGGCGACTTTTTGCTCGTTGGAGAGGGCGCGCAGGCCGATGACATCAACGCTCTAGAAATTGAAGTCAAGAGAGATGTATAATCTTCAATTTTCAAGCTTCTAGATATGCTATTTTAGACGTCATAAATAGAAAAAACAATAATGGTTATACGTAATTAAATTTTTTGAAAAATTTGAGTTTCTTAAGCAATGATCTTTGGTTAAACCGAAATCAAAACTTCCAAAATTAAAAGCGATAAATGTTGAAATTTAAAATTTGAGACTCTTTCATTATATATCTCATTAATGATACACATTCGTTAAAAAGAAATGTTCTAAGCCTACCTTCATCTTTTTTTCCGCATCATCCAATCGTTCCCTCTGTTCGCTGAATTGATACTTCGCCTCATTCAGTTCGATCTGAGTATCAACAACTTGGGTCTCCACCCACTCCACTTTTTCCTTCGTCTTTTCGACTTCCGATCCAAACTGTCGTTGAACATTGTCGATCTTGTACTTTAAATTTTCAGCTGTCTTCGAGAGGCTCAAGAATTGTTCTTGATCTGCGCGGGAAAGCTGAAATAATTCTTTATTTCACTTTTCGATTTTTATGCAAGTGGCACTCAGTAGTCGCACGCATTATTATTCAATTTGAATTTGTTCACGGAGCAAAAAAGGACTATTTCGAGCGACGCAAATTATGGAGATAAGCACTTATCGACAATTTTCTTCTGTTCAAGCGAGGGTCTAATGAATTATGGAATGGGACCAAGAACGCGGGGAGAAAAAGGGATTATGAGAGCAGGAATTTGATTGAGATCTAAAGTTCTAAAGATTCTAAACTTTTCTCAAATGATTTTTTTGAGCATTTTTTCGTCAGGCCAAAAAGCATATTTGCTCGGCCCACTTTTCAGCGTAAAGATGAAGTTCGATCCTCGACTCCTCGACCTCAAAAGACCTCAAAAACTTGGTCAACAAGTTGTCCTCCCGCTGTGGCTGGGCTTTCTTTTGAGAAAAATTTTCATTCTTACAAAATATTTCGAAATGAAAGGCTTTTTATTTCTCTTTTTCTTCACCCTTGCTTTTTCAAAGAAGAAAAAGTCGAAAAACAGAGATGAAGACGAATCTTGCCACAGCTACTGCAGATGCAATAATCAAAAGAAAACGATCATCTGCTATGCGCAAGGAATCATCGCTCCCAAATTTGACCTAGAGGACAAGTCGCTTTCCGAGGTCGTCCGCTTGGATCTAAGAAGCAATCAAATTGAGGAGCTACCAGTTTTCCCAGAGATGCCAAAGCTCAATTTTTTACAGCTTCAAGAGAACGCAATAAGTTTAATTGAGCCCAATGCTTTCAATAAGGTTGGTATTTTTTGTCGCACATGAAGGTAGATAAGAATATTGACTCCAATTTTGAAGACAGAGATAATTTAAATTTTTCATGGACTTCAAAGAAAAATTTATTTATATGAACCCGATATGAAAAATTTTTTCATTAGTTATGGTTTTTCAAAAACAACTTATTTTTTAGACAAGAGGGGTCAACAACGTCTTCCTGAACGAAAACCACCTAACGCGTATCGAAAAAGAAACCTTCTCCGGCTTGCTTGACGTAAAACTCCTCAGTCTATCAAAAAACAAGCTCGACAAGATCGAAAACTTCGCCTTCGTCGAGCTCCACTCCCTCATCACCCTCTCCTTGTCCGACAACTTCCTGGACAAAATCACGCCAAAGATTCTCGAAGGGCTCGAAAAGCTGAAAACACTTGAATTGAATGGAAACCAGTTGAGAAAACTTCACAAAGATACGTTTTCTGAAACAAAGCAACTGAAGAATTTGGATCTTAGTGAAAATTTACTGACAGAAATTCCAGCTGCGATCAGAAATTTGGAGAAATTGGTGGTTCTAGCGCTTCAAGGGAATAAAATTGGAGCGGTTGAAATGTCAGGTCTAGAAGGTAAAATTCATGAGCAAAAATCAGAATACCACGATATTAAAATTTAAGTGATATTTTCTACCCACAGTATATTCGAAGTAAACTATTATTGCTGTATACAGTATACAGTATACAGTATACAGTATACTGCCTGCATCATTACCGTAAACATTTTCCTAGGTCTTCAAAATCTCGAAAAACTCGACCTCTCGAACAACCTCATCAAGTCCATCCACCCGAAAGTCTTCATCCCAACTCCAAGCCTCACTCTCGCCGACTTCTCCGGAAACGAAATAAAAGTCCTCGAGCCTTTCGAAGCCCTCAACCTTGGCCAAACCGAACTTAGCTTTGATCGAAATGAGCTTGTCTGCGATTGTGGGCTGCGAAAATTCAACGAGTGGGTGAAAAACGGTCCAAATGGAATGAAGATCGTTTCGAATTGCTTTTCCCCGGAGGTGCTTTTTGGAGCGAATATCGTCGAGCTCAACCAGGAGGAGTTTTGCAGCCCGGATGATATAACAACAACGACGAGTACAACAAGCCCTGCAACGACGACAACAATTACAACCACGACGAGAACAACGATTCCGACAACGACTACAACCATGATTTATCTCCCACTACCGCCTGCGACGATGGCTCCAAAACCTTTTGTCGGTTAGTCACCTTTCAAGTTAAAATAAAGTTAAACAAGTTAAAATGGTATTTATCATCTGGAATTAAGAAAAGACTTATTAAATCTGTGTTATCATTTTCATTGTTTCTTAAAATTGAAAATGATTATTCATTTTTTAAATTGATCTTATATGGTTCTCGAAAAATACAGAAACTTTTCAGCGTTATTAATTTTTACTTCAGCAAAATTTATCAGCGAGCTGTTCACTTGCCCCGAGGGATGTTCCTGCGCGAGCAATGTCTACCACGTGAACTGCATCGCACTCAATTACCGAGAAATTCCAGCAGAGATCGGAATCGGTAAAATTTCATCCAAATATAAATATCTAAACGACTAGGTACGAAATTGTTGGATTTGCGGCTAAACAAGCTCGAAGTCCTTGAAGAGCTCGAGTTCGCTGGCTTGAATTATTTGGAAAGTCTTCATTTGGATTTGAATCAAATTATGCTCGTGAAGCAGGGCGCTTTCAGGGGGCTCAAGAAGCTTATCTACCTCTACCTGTCCCAAAACAACATCAAATATCTAATGGTAGGCTTACATAGTAAAAACGAGTCCCAACTTATTTCTAGCCCGGCTGTTTCGAAGACCTAGAAAACATCTCCTACCTTTATCTGAGCCACAATAGCATCATTGAAATTCCTATGGCCGTTTTTCGCCCAATAAAGCATCTGTACGACCTTCAACTGCAGCACAATCAGATCACAAAATGGAAGCTCGGCTACTTCGAAAAAGACTGTCGGATTCGAAAGTTGGACTTGAGCTACAACAATTTGACTGAAAACGCCATCGAACCGCATGGTTTCATTGGTTAGAAAAAAGCTTGTTTCAACATAGTAACTTTTGCATTCTAGGCCTTGAGGGACTGGACTCCCTTATCTTAGATCACAACGATTTCACAAAGCTTCCCACCCAAATCTCCTCCCTTGAATACCTCGAAACCCTCTCCCTCGTCGGCAACTCAATCGACTGGGTTAAAAACGTTTTCTCTCCGTCCGAATACCTCAAAAAGTTAGTCTACTCTCTTTCGGTCCGGAAATTCACTGATTTTTATAGCATTCTTTTGCAAGAAAACAACATTCAAAGAATCGAGCCCGATGCATTTCGTGATCTTGCGTATTTGACAAAACTGGACCTGACCGACAACCCTATTCAAAGCTTGCCGAAGTTTGAGGGTTTGGACAGATTGCGATATCTAAGAATTCCGAAAACAAATATTCAGGAAACGGGCTTTGAAATTTCTCCTTTTCAGATGATAAAAAGGGGCAAAAATCGTGTAATTTGAGTTCTTGAAGCCCTCAAAAGTGCACATGCAAAATAAAAGACTTCAAGTTCGGCTTCTTGGACACGAAAGAAAACCTAGACATTCTTGGAAACACCTGCAGCGGCCCGGAAAACATGGTCGGTCGGACTCTAGAAAGCCTCACCATAGGCGATATCTGCCCAGAATAACGAAAAAATATCTTCTCTGTATCTACTCACTGTCAAATAAGAAACATTACCTGGTCAACTACGGACACTTCGTCCGAGATTTTATCGATTCGTTCGGCAAAGTAGTTGGTGTATTTTTGAAGTCGCTCCAGTTCGGCAGTCAGGGTCGCGCGTTCAGCCTCAGATTGACTGATAAAAACTAGGAAAAATTTCAGGATGGATTTCCAATAAGGAATAAGGACAAACAGCCTTAGTTTTCTCATCAACATGAAGTTATGTTTCGGCTTGATAGAAGAAGGGTGTCATTTATTTAATGATTGTAATGACCCTAGCATTTTTCCTCCGAGACGCATTCCACTACAAAAATACACCACTCGAACCCGTTAATTTGGCAGAAAGTATTCACAAAATATTTGCTCGAAAATTTACCTAATAACCACGATGCAAGAAACAAAAATGCAAAACCTTGCGATTTTGGATTTGCAGCGGCTTTCTTAGAGCGAAGGAGATTACACTTTTAGTTCCATCCAGGGGTTCGAAAAAAGCGTGGTACGCGCGTGGTATTAGCGCCCCCACTTTCGCCGTTCCACGGCCCGCCCGTGGTACACTTTCAAAAACAACGGTGGCTCGGTTTGCTAAATAAGGCCTGCGCCAGAGGGGAGTTAGGCCAAGCGGCGACCCGCAGAGCGCGATACGAACCACTACACAATTCGTTCCGATTGCCGATCCAATGTGGGGAACTAAGAAGCCACTATTTAATGAATCGAGAAAAGAATATCTCTACTAGTCGAGTTCAGATATTAGACGGATTAGTAAAGTTATGTATTTTATATAAAATGGAAATATATATAGCCTTAATATAATATAGGGTTTCTATCGGAAAACAAAGTGCACTCAATCATTATGAAACTAACACATTATGAATACTAACTGATAAGGTCGCTTGACGGTTAGTCCTAGTATTTGGTTCTTTTTGAAAGTAATCCTCGACTGTGAGTCGGCTTATATTTAGCAAACGGGTAGCTTACCACTTCCGGGACCTTTTTTTCATATTACCCAGTGTTATAAGTAACATGGGCGACCCTTTGTTACTCGATAAAACGCTGGCGCTTTTTAACTAGTTACTCAATAAAACTGTGGCGGGCGGCCCTCTGTTAATCCGTAAAACGATGGCGCGGCGAAAAAAAATTTACTCGATAAAACGATGGCACCCTTGTTAATCGAGGCGCGGGGCTCTCTGGAATGACGTCATCCGAGGACTCTCTTGCTGGAGATCTCTTCTGACCAATGCGATGGCGGAACTTAATAAAAATAATTTTGGTGGTGTTTTGAACATTTGGTGGTGGAATTACGTAGCAATTTTTACAATAAAAACTACCATGGGGACCGCACGCAAGGGGAAAAAAAAGAGCGGGGTGGGATCGAACTCGCGCCCAGCGATCACTGAGCGGATGCGTTCTCCACTAAGCCAGGCCGTATCAATAAAGTCCCACATTAACAAGGCTATATTGTTACATTTTTGACCTCTCGATGACGTCATGCAAGAGAGCGCCGCGCCTCGATTAACAAGGGTGCCATCGTTTTACCGATTAAATTTTTTTTTGCTGCGCCATCGTTTTATTGAGTAACTAACTCAAAAGTGCCAGCGTTTTATCGAGTAACAAAGGGTCGCCCATGTTATAAAGGTTATTGTTTTTCATTTAATTATCAAACATTTAAATCTTCAAGTAAGCTGCGCTCGCCGAGGGTGAGACCTATCCGCGAGCGCCGAAAATTAAAACTGGGCTGCCCAGTCTGGGCACTTTATTTCCACCCGCTCGCGTGGAATTCTACGTGTGTCCGTGGGTGGCGCTACTACGGGCCCGCGGTGGTATTTTAGCGCGAAAAACAAAAGCGCGGTGGACGAAAGTGAGCGGTGGCGCTAATACCACGGGCGGGCAACGTTTTTTTCGAGACCCTGGTTCCATCAAATGTTTATGTTCTGGGGACGGCGGAAGAAATTATTCAAAGTGCCTCTTTACGGCTTTTCGAAAAAAGGGAGCTGGGCGAATCAGACGCTCGTTTCGAATAAAGGCTAGAATCGTTGATTTTTCTTACCTCGAACAAGTTCAACCACTCGATCGACTTCTTCCTTCATCTCGTCTTGCGAAAATTTGACCTTGGTCTCGACCTGTGAGGCGGATTGCTCGGCCGCGAGTTTCGCAAATTCGGCAATCTCACGTTTTAACCCATCAAGGTCAATTTGCGCCTGTTTTGGTGTCGCGTCAATTTCCGGGTAGCTTGGCACGTAACTTGGTGTTGCTGTGGCTTTGGCTTTTTTCATGTTCAGAAAAAATTATTTATGAAAATAAAAGAAGAAAAGGAGTCTTGGAAAGAGATTTCTCTGAACACTTTGGCTTGTATTTTGTTGTGGAGGGCGTGGTTTTTGAACGCATTGGTCTGACGAACTGTACTTGGCGCAGCGGTCGTCGCAGCGGTCTTTTGAGGAGCAGGGCCGAATTTTACCGCTAGTTGCTCCTGTTTTAATGCTTTTAAAGAAGATTCTCATAAGCTTCATTTTTTAGACACGAGATTTTTTGTCCTTTAAAATAAGCGATTAGCTGGATCGTACTTCCGAAGTCATTTCCTTCGGACTCCGAAAAATGTTCAAGGAAGTTAGAACTGGTGGAAATTATCATAAATTATGGTCTTCATTGTTCCGCTATCAAGAAATTTTTGATTCTTGAACGAAAAAGAGAATTTTTCAAAAAAGAAATTTTCGTTATGAAATGCAATCTGCGCTTATGAAACCCTTTCCTTCTAATCTCCTGGTCAAATCAGCCATGGCGCCGCTTTTCTTCATTCCAGGATCAGCTCCATTTCTCGATGGCTGAGGAAGAATCTTCGCCGCAAAGCGATTAAATGGCGGAAGCGTTGTTGGCTTCAATGCAGCTCTCGTCGTCGTGGTTTTCTTCTGAGGCAAGCAGAGCTGTCCATTACCGGTCCAGCCAGGCTTACATGCGCAATCAGCGCTAGCAGAGCCGGCATCAACTGCTTCGCAAGCAAATCGGGGCTTACAACTGTCGCACGGGTCTGAAAGCACGGCTCACTTTCGAATCGAAAATGTTGTATCACAACTTAAACTGCAAGATAAGAACCATCAAATATGCGGTTGTTAAATAATTGCCCAGAATCCTTGGCTGGCAGACTGTTGGTTCAAAAATAAGTATTTTGAGTTTGACAGTTACACACATTTCGCAAGACTGTAAATAAAAAAATCTACCAGAGAAAAAAATAATAAAGAAAAAGTTCAAAAAATGAAAAAAATAAAGTTCATTTTTTCAGAAATTTTGAATTCGACATTGATTCTAGGGCAGATCCTGGATCTACTGAATGCGTAAATAAGCAAATAAAGCGCCGAATAATTAAATTTTCTTTTTAACTATTCCGCCCTTTTCGTCTCCCAAATAGAAGCGCCTCAAAACCTCGGGACAGCAAGGAAAAGTTGAAAGCTCTTTTACTGAAACAAAACAGCTTAGGATAAGCACGTTGTATTTTGAAAACTTTTGAAAAGCGAAAAACCTAAATCTCTGACGCTGGCACTTTTATGCGCTTTTGGTTTCTAGCGCTTATGCATATTTTGCAATTTTCGACGAAGAGGCGTTTTTACTCACCCATAACACAAGTTTCGCCATGTCTGACCGTCCCAGCGGGGCAGTTAGTCGGACTACACTGAAATCCATTTCCAAAGTAGCCATCCAAACAGCGACACGAATAAGCAGATCCTTTCTGAGCACAAGAGGCTTTCGAAGAGCAAAGATTATTGAGACACTTGGAGGATTTAGATGAGCTCGAGGCTTCGCAAATGGCCGGAAGTTTTGAAGCCGAGTTGATGTCGTTGCGCCATTCCCAGCCGGATGCTGAGTAGCTCTAGAAAGTAAATAAGCAAAGGAAGAGAGGTTTTAATGAGAAGATAAAATAGAAATTACATTAAGTGAAACTTTTCCTATAGCGCCCTACAAATAATGCTAGTATTTTTGGAAAGTCTTATTCAAATAGTTCTTTGATACTTGAAATACATAGAGATAGGTTTTCTACTCGTTTTATGGTCTTCGTTTTCTTGTAAAAACAGAGTGAAAGAATCTATAAACTTCTTCCTTTTTTTGCAGTTTGCTGAACTGTCGTGAATTGAATTTCGAGCCTTTTTACCACCGCTACTTACCATGTATACCGGAGCCGAGTTCCTGTGCTTTTGGGGAAATCCACTTGCCCAATTTCCGCGCCATTGACCTAGGTCTTTGCCAATCACTTTATTGCCAGTCCAAAATTTTGCTCGTTCCAATCCCTTTTTCATGAATAAAAAAATATCTTCAAGCTATTATTTTTTGTTATCAACTGTCTGTTACTTCAGTACTATGAGCAACGTGATCTTCGAATTCCACGGGGCAATTAAATCGCTCCTCTGCATTTCATGGATTGATCGAGGGGGCCTCATTTAGAATTCAAGATCACTCTCAAATATGATGCTACTGGGCTCGTTTTTCGAGTCTCGCACTCTTTCCTAAGCAAGTATAAATTATTTTCGGCAACGATCCGCTTGCGGTGTTATCTTATCACGGAAGGTAAATAGAGTTTTTAGAAGAAAACTTTCACAGAAAAAAGTTGCGTCAGAGATCCTCTTAAAAATTAATTTTAGACGAAAATCTTGGTTTTCATCAATCCTCCTTTGCGTTATTCGTCAATTGCTGCAATAGCGTTTTCCCAAAATCATTCAATAAATGTTCTTTTTTGAACAAATTTGACTCGTGGATGAAGACATCCACCAAGTCAAATAAACTCAGGAACCACACATTTCAACCCTTTTCTTTTCTTTTTAAAATTCAATGATCACCTCGATCCCCCGCCGAGCGCGCTGATAAGCGGCGCACGAAAAAATTGTCAGCGAGTGAGAACGATTACTGAAGTTTGGTACTTCAATGACGACAACGTGTTGCGGCGACGCTTTTTCAGATCGCACTTAGTTTTTTAAAAGGCGCTCTAAAGAGGATGAAGACAAGGAAAGTTACCATTATGAAATGAAAATTATAGAATGTATCTTATCAATTTCACGAAGAAGAACAAGTTGAGAATGTAGAATTAGATGAGGATATCAGTCGAAATCATGTGATTCGGATATTATATAAATTAAAAATGATCATTAGAAGTTATTGTGTCTTTTTTTCGTCTCTAGAAAATCCATTTGTCACCTCCCCTCTTATCAGAGCCTTTAGACGCCTAGTTGTGCCCGATGGAAATATTCAGCTAAAAATTTTTTATCCATTCCTGGTCGTCAGTTTGCAGCATAAAATTCACGACCCGCTGCTCTTCTGGTGACTGGATTGTCGCCAGCTGCATACCGAACAGTTCCTAAAATTTCAATTGACCCAAAGAAACTGTGTGAGTAACTCCTGAATTTTACACCTCAGTTTGGACCTACAGACTGTTTCTTTCGAGTAAAAACTGGTTTTTTTTTTTGAAAATGTCATGAAAATGTTTGAAAAGTCGACCGCGGTTTTTGATCGGAACGAGGAAGCTCTAGAAGCTCATGTTAAACACGAGTAAGAGTACTTCCTACTTGAAGAAAAGTTAAATCATCGAATTTGTCGTCCGTACCGCAAGTTTGATGGATTAAGGTCTTGCTCCTTCGTTTCTTACCTGGCAGCGTCGCGAGGCCTCTTCATGAGTGACAGCCGATCTGAGGATCTCCCATCCTTTTCCTCCCAAGCTTCTGCAGCTCGCTCCTTGGCAAGTACTGTAAGGACCATTGCTTGCACAAAGCTTGTAAGCTGTTGGTTCAATTGTTGAAACTCGTCTGCCACCAATCGTTGCCTAAAAAGCGGTTGAAAATTGAAAAAAAAAGACGCTTTTCAGGTCGAAAATTGGAGTTATGAGAGCCTTCGAGCGGAGTTTATTTTATTTACCGCGGATACTTATTAACCGCGAAGGGGAAGGGACCCTAACCACGCCTACAAATATTGACGTGATGTAATTCCGAGAGAATTTTCTTTTTGATTTTAATAAATTGAATAGAAAATTTAATTTTTCTTCTAGAAAGTTGAGGCATTCAAAATTACTGTTTCTTTTTCGACCAATAAGCAGCCGATATTTTCTCGATTAACCAATCAAAATTGACCATTACTTACAGGAGTAGCACCAACAGCATGAAGCATCATAGTTCTCAAAACCGCGGGTGTTCGTTGACAATCCGGGCCGAGCTCCAGTGCAACTTCTCCGCCTCTGAAGCTATCGCCGAATGAGGGAAGACCAACTGTCGTTCGGCAATCGGATCCGGGCTTCAAAAAGATCCAATTTGAGTAGTCGCCCAAATCAGCGTGCGTAATCCATCGGAATTCCACGCAGTCAGATTGTGATGTCAATCGATTTAGAACGTCGTAGACTTCTTCGATCACTGCTCGGTCGAAATTTTCAGAAACCTAAAAATTTTGAAATCGAAAAAAAATTTTTTCATCTTTTTTGATCTTATATTTTCCTCAAGGCCTTTTTTCTTGCATCAATTTTTATTTCAAAAGAAATTCCGGAAATATCGATTTTTGAGTTATTTACAGTGCGTTATTTGCGGAAGAGCTGGTTCGGAAGAGCTCCGAGCTCCGCGGTTTTTGGCAATTCTCGGATTGTCGGTATTTTGCCTTTCGCAGCCCTTCCCTCACGTGCTACCCTTTAGTAGAGTCGTCTCTAATCGGCTAATTGATTACTCAAGGAAAAATATTGAAACAAGGAAAATTAATTGATGAAATTTGTGTTTGAAAAGACTCCCCGTTTTTGGGAATAACATTGATTAGGAATTTTGTAAGAGCGAGAGTTTGAAAATTAAATGGAACTAACAGTACATGTAAATATTTTAGGGTGAATATCATAAATATAGTTTGACCGATTTGAACACGTTTTTACAATGATTGTACCATAATAAACGTGAAAGTTGTATGATTTGAGTCAAATAATCACCCCAAACGTCCATTAGGAATAATAATGATTCTCAAACAAATCCGATTTTCGGGAAGGTGGCTCGAATCGGCAAAAAATGCGACAATTTTGACCAAAATTTGGGAAAAAATTTTGACCAATAAAATTTTGACACTCGTCAAGTCGGCCAATCACATTTCAGAAGACAAATTTCGAAAAAAAAAATTGATGCGTTTTTCGTCGATTCGAGCCGAAAACCCGACATTTCAGAAGATGTGGCAAATCCTTCTTTTTTTTTTTTCTTATCAAAAGTAAAAATACCAAACTTTTGACTATCAGCATCGCGCGATAAAAAGCGCGAACACTTGACTTGAAGACTTACCAAGACGGGTACGACTGTGAGTGGTTTAGAAGGAGACCTGGGCCAAAGGTTGACTGGGAATCCATTTTCGCCTGGGAATTGGCTGCCCATTGCTCTGGCTCTCCCAGGAATGACGATGTTGTACTTCCATTTCAAATATGCGACTAAATAAATAACTCAAGAGGAGGACAAGTGTTTTAACTAGCGGAATAACTTGTTAGGATACTTGTTTACACTTCTGTTTGCTCTCTTTTCGTGATAATTGAATGGAAAATAAGCAACCCCGTTCCCATAAGTGCAATACTAAATTTCAAAAAGAGAAAAGTGGTCACGTTTCTTTAAAATTTCAAAATTTTATTTTTTTCAAAATTTTGGAAATTGTATTTGTTTTCGGTCACACGCTTCTGACCGAAAATCGTGAGGTTTAAATAAACAGTTAGACAAAATTTCTTCTTTACCCTTTTTTGGTTTACTTTTTTGGTATGTTGAAATAAGGGTGGCTGAAATCGACAAATTACGACTTTTTCTTCTGTTTTTGAGATCTTAGATTATAGGCCAATCAGATGTCCGCATCGGGTTGAAAGGCCAATTAATTTTCAGGAAAAAATTGTCGCGAATTTCGATCTTTTTCGTCGGTTTTTTGGTCGATTTGAGTCGCTTGGCCCAAAATAACTAGAGAAAAAAAAGATAATTTATGCAAAAAGAAACATCTTTTCCAACTCGAGAATACAAAAGAAAAAGCCATCTTTATGATAATTCGGAGGTTGAAAAATACTGTGAAAATCTGTCGCCAACACTTGTCGAACCTAAATGAGCATGTGTTCGAAAACGCCCTTTCAGGAATAGCGAAAATTCTAGGGAAAAGGTGATTTAAAAATTTCCCCTCAAATGGTTATTTTGATTCTCTCCTTGGAATCATTAATGCTCTCAACTGCGAAAAATCGAGGAAGAAAAACAAGACTGGATTGGCGCTCAAGTTTCCGTAAGAAAATAACGTGGTTAGTTAACCCTGAGCTGTCTAAAATCTGAAAAGAAACAGTATCGACTTTTGACAGCTTCTATCTACTCCTCCCTTAACGTTTTGTTTACAACGTGAGTCGTTGTTGGAATTCCGGGTGCGTATCTTTCTGGTGACATTGTTTAGATCTTCATCTCTTAGATAAAGGAAGATACAGATATTTACAGAAAGGAAGCTCATTAATTAACTTACACGATCTTTTTTTTTTGGTATTAAGTTTTTTGCCTATTTATTAGCTTCTTTTGCAAAAATAATTAAGGGACCATAATTTTTCTTTGGGTTTTTTATGTCTGCCATTATTATTCAGTTAATTTTTGATAGAAAATAGATATAAAAAATAACCATTTGAATTTATTGAAGCAGAGTTACCCAACAAGAACTACAAAAACGTTTCCTATTATTAGTGAATGCATTAAAAGATTTAAATCTTTAGCTTATTAATAATTAATCCAAGATGGAATCTTTTGCTTATTTTCTATAACGAGGGGATCTCAAATCAGAACGACACGTATGACCAATTTCGAGCCATTTGGTCGAGATGAATTAAAATCATCAATTTTAACGAATAAGAAAACTAACCTTGCTGATCAGTCCACTCGAAATTAATCGGCAGCTCCCTTAACCATCCTGTCCCATCTTCTTTCTTTGCATCATCTCTTAGAAAACCTAAAAATTCTTCATTACATGTTCTTCGTTCTAACTCTCTTATTGATCATGGATCTCTAGAAACCTCCTGACGCGATGTTGAGCAACCAAAAAAGGCGCATCTTGATGATTTGTTATTTGAAAAAAAATATAAGAAATGGATTTTGCGAACTTAGGCAGAAAAGAATCTTCGTCAGAAAAATCGTTCGAGCGCGCTAGAATTGCAAGAATCGTGAAAACTCCGGGACTCGCGAGCGCCATCGCGCAAACAGCGCGAGTAAAAGTACTTAGAGGCCGAAAAGGGCTCGAAAGGAACGGCTTGTAAAGCGAGGAAATCTGCTTAGCGTTTTTAAACCAGACGCGGTTTTGGGCTGCTGTCGCGATGGATTCAGTCTAGGGTTAGTTTGGTTCAGTTGATTCAAAAGATTTATTGGCCAGGATTGATTTCTTCCCTTATTTTGCTAAAAAATACGTAGCTTCGATGACCACAAATTGAAAAAATTTCGACAACTTTGATCAAAATTTCGGTCAAAATTTTAACCAGTCAGATCGCCGCTTTCGGCCGTTAGCCCAATCAGATTTCAGAAAAAATTGTCAAAAAGTGTCGCGATTTATTTGGCAAAAAAAAAGACCGAAAAAGTGCGACAAAAGTAACGAGATGGATAGACTTTTAGACTAAAAGTTTTAGTACAGGATTCAGAAATTCTGAATCAGAATCCTGTATTCTCAATAAGCCTTCTTCTTTTTTTTGGTTATAATAAGTTTCCCTTCTGTCGAGGAAATGTCAATTTAGACATCCATTATGTTCAAAGTCTAAAAAGTTCATCTTTGATCATGTTACATAATCAAAGCTATTATTTATAAAAGTACATACGTACATATGATTAAATTGATTATTTATACTTGCGGTATAAAAGATCACCATGAAACTTTTTGAACAGAAAAATGAGATTTTGTTTTGTAACCCTTTTTTCCTTAACTTTTGGCAGTTATTTCGGCGAAAGAAATCGGCAAATGGACTCGTTTTCGACAAAGAATTTGAAGCAAATTCTTTCAAACAATGGTTTGTTTATATTTTTTTGCTTATTTTAATAATTTATGTAGCTGTGAGAATTCGAAAGATTCCAAAAAGAAGAGATCCTCAACACTTCGTCCTTCATCATCCAAGCCAAGTTCGCCGTCTTTTTCAACTGTTTCCATGAGATCAAAAATAATATACGCTGGAAAATGGAGCTTCTAATGAAGCATTTCACAAAAGGGAATCGTGAAAGTTGAGTTATCTTTCGGCACTCAGGTGCGCTTTTTCAGCGGTAAGATAAAGATTAACTCTCGAGTTCCAAATTCGAATCATCTCCGCAAAAGAGTTGTAATCTGCGGCCCGCAAATGATGTATAAATTCTGGAAATTTTTAGAATTAGCATTTTTGCATCTCGGATTATTCTTGAGGGGGGGGTGTCGACGAGAATTTTTTCTTGATTTTTGACCGATTTTTTCCGGCCAAAATTTTTTCTTGTTCTCGCCGGTTAATTTTTTCAACCCTTTTCTATTTGCCAGTAAACTCAGATTTTGCTTATCTGATCAGGTTTTCCCGCATTTTTGGTCACGGAAATCCCGATTCTCGTCGACCCCCTCCTTAACTGTATGATGTAGTCTTTATCTTAGTTCTTCTGATCCTTATTAATGTTATTTCTTCAATCTAATTGAATTTTATTGAATCTTAAATTTTTGGAAATAAACTTTTTCAACCCCGCGCAACATTTTTGTTTGTACCAAACAACGCGCAGGCAGATTCCAAATGAAATGAGTGCAGTTAGAGGGAATTTCTAAAAAACGTTAATGCCATGTTCGCTTGAAAAATCTTAATACGCCACGGCCTAACGACCGTAATTGACCATTGTTCAAAACGTGCTTTCTGAATTGAAAAATCAAGCGTTTTTGTCATGATCCGTTTTTTTCAATTCTTGGCGTTTCCCTGTAGAAATTATCGTTTATTTAAAGTTGTATGAGCAACGACAGAAAAAAATAAATCGCATCCGGGTTATCCCGTCTTTTCCACTTTTACTCTTGTAAACAGGATTTAAAGTTTTATTCAGGCGAAGGGTGGGGCTATTACTTGCAAGTTCGTTTTTAACAAATTTTTCTGGGTTGTGCTGATTTATTTTTTGCTTATCGCCTCTTCTTTTTTTTTCTCACATGAACAGTTGAATGTAGTCGTTGAAGGATTTTCGGCAGATGGGACATTCGCGCTAAAATGTATTTTTAGAAGAAAAAAACTGAAAACTTGGTTCGTCTTTTTTCGAGTTTTTCGCTAGAAACTCTTCCGGAAACGATGTCATGTCAAAAATAAAAGATAGGAATCCTATCTCATTTCCGGATTTTCCCTTTTTAGAGCTTCAATTTCTGTTTGGGAAGGGTTAAGCTACTTGAACCGGGGCAATGAGAAGCTATTTGTACGTACTCTGAATGCAGAATAGAACCGTTGGCAGCAATCAACGCAAAACACGTGACCACAATCCTGAAGAGCTGCCTATATAACGTGTTCAAAATACATGGACAAATCAAATTTGAATCTTAAATATTTTGAGCCGCGCCTTTCTTTCCATATCTCCACAGCAAATAGAACATGTCAATAAGCCCTCTAACTTCTCTTCTAGTTCTTTCAATTCCTTTTTCTTCGACTCCAATTCAACCTGAAATTCCCGATGAGAAATAAACGAGAAAAAAGCACTTACTTTTTCATCGACTTCTGGTGGCTCATCTGGGGCTTCCGGCGCTTGTCGTTTTGGACGATCTAAAAGTTCTAGAATAGAATAAAAAATGAATGTGAAAGTATCTACTTGAAAAGTTTTTCACAACTTTGAGTGCGAGATTCTGTTGCTTCTTATTCAACGTTGGATGCCTTTGAAGCGTCGCTGGTGAAGCTGGTGTCGGGTTAACATCACTTCTTGCAGGATTTGTGTCTCTTTCTTGACTGGTTCTTGAAGAGACTGGTGTATGGTCAAGGCCAATGGTATCAGAGCTTCTCTGAATGGGCGGTGGAGGAGCTTGACGTTTCGGGCGATCTTGATTTATTGATGTTGTTCTTGGAGGGGGAGGGTGAGTGGGATACTGATCTGTGACAAAGGATCTTTGAGGAGGACGATTTCGTGGGGGAGATGGGGCTCGACGACGTGTCGGTGTCCTGTTTTCCTCGATTCTTTGCCAAATTGAACTGGAATTATTGGTGACAACTCGCGATCGAACAGTTTGATAGTGTCTCGTCCTTGTCCCACTTGCGGAAGAAGGGGATAAGGAGGAATTGGTGAATGATCCCGCAAGAGGCAGTGGCGGTATCTCTTCAATATTCCGATTCGCATCGAAAAAGTCATTTAGCGCTCGTTGAAGATTCCAACCTCGTTGTAACAAAAATGCTTCCGTATCGTGGTGGTCGGGAACGTCGGTCAGAAGACGGAACTCTTTGATTTTTTCTCTTTTAGTTTGTTCGGAATCGAGCATTTTATGAAAGAAAAATGATGAGGAAGAAAATGTTCTTGAAAATAACCGCGCGTGGACCGGGTTAGTCATCGTTTTTACGAGCGATGAAAGTGTGTGTTATAGGAAGATTTTGAAATGATTTGTTATCAGCTGATTAGAAAAATGACATAGCGGAGGCAACCCCCTTAATATTTGACAATTCTTTCCATCTTATCAAGTTCTAGAGCTCTTGAAAACGGTGCAGTCTGATTCGTCCAAAATCTAAAGCGATAATCAGCACATTTTGAACGGTTATTCAGTTGAGCGGTGAACAAAGCAAACAGTCACGTGGTTGAAAAAGTACGTCCGCCGCGGTCGAAGAGATAAGTCTAGCCAGGATAAACACTATCTATCGAGAGAGGCGATTTTCTGGCAGTTAGATTTTCTGGCAGTTAGACTTTCTGGCAAAGGCGATTTTCTGGCACTGCCAGAAAATCTAACTTCCAGAAAATCGCCTTTGCCAGAAAATCTAACTGCCAGAAAGTCTAACTGCCAGAAAATCGCCTTTTTAGTATGCATATTATTTGAAACTCTGCAAAAAACTCTTTTTAATAAAATCATTTATAAATTCGAAAAACTGGTGATTATCACACAAATTTCATTCCGGAGCAGTTTCAGCAGGAGTTTGCACCTTTCGACGGGAGCGTTTGATCTAAAAGCCGACTATTCAGGGCGCTAAAAAAGACGACGAATTTGGAATTGAAATTTCTGCGCTAAAAATAGAATGAGGGCAGCATCCACAGTTCGTTCTTGCTATTTTCGGAGTAACAAACGGGTTAACAGGCAGCTGAAAAGTTAGATTTTGATTTTTCTGAGAAAATGGAGGATGATGAAGAGAATGCGGATAGAAAAATGTTGAAACTGACACCGATTCCACCACCTTCTGAGGAAGAATTTTCAGGATAGTTTTATAACAAGTTCAGTTTCAAAAAGCATTTGCGTGCGCCATTATCTCAGTGGGTGCTCACTGTGACCAAGTACTCGAAATCAGATGCAAACACCGGGTGATTAACACAGAAATTCCCGGAAGAAGCTGATTTATGTTTGCTACAGCTATTAATCTTGAATAAATGGGTCAAAAGTGGCCTTTGTCAATGAATTTTTATAAAACGTGTAAGAAAACATTGGTGGTACTGTCGAAAACCCTGCCTTGGTAACGATTCAACGAAACTCAAAAAACAATGCATCCTTCCTCGTCAAAGTTGCTTCCAGATCATTTGCTTTCAAAGCAAGAAAAGCGAAGAAAACGATTCTGCATTCTAAAAACGACGATCCTGACTTCCGTTTCAAGATGCGAGTCGAGTGTGAAAATCAATCATATTCGAAAGACGCTTCATTCCGCTGTTCAACGAAGATTTGGATGTTTGCAAAAGTTGTTGATATGGAATCTCCTCGTTTTTTTGAGCTCAGCAATTGGCGATGTGGAAAGCTAGAGTCGAAAGTAGACATTCACATGAATAAATGTCTGAAGAACGATGCACTCGAAAAGAAGCGATTACAGTACGCAACGACTGTGTCCATGCTCAACAGGAACCAAATTCGCCCAAAAAGTCAACAGACAATTCGTGGAGAAGTTCAAAAAGATTCACAACTTTCGAGCATGGAAAGAGGCAATCTTTTCACGAAAAAGGAGATGAGACGTCTTGCTCAGAATTCCAGAAAGTACGAAAGAAAAATAAAGGCCGCTACAGTTCCTGATCCTCGACGCTTGGAAGACTGGATGACAGTACTAGGAAAGTGATTTATTTGACCGAGCACAGATGCACGAAAGAAATGACAGTGAATATAGTTTAGTTAAATCTTGAGTTGAATTATCCTTTAGAGCTTGGGACATCCTTGATACGGTAGAAAAGCAGAGGCCGTGCGTTCTTCTTTTTCCTTTGTCTTTCCCTGAACTAACATAAATTCGAAGCCGCAAGCGGCTTCTCTTACGATGCAGGAGTTCTTGGGGCTTCGAGGACCCGAGCAGCGGGAGCTCCAGCTCGAGCGGGTGCTTTCTTTGCTGTTGTAGAAACTGCAGCGAATTTGAAGCGGGGAGTCACACCAGCGTTCGCTCTCGCATGAACGGGACCAAGAGGTTCTCCCTTTGAAATCAGAATTGAAAAAGGATTTCGCGTTCTTTTTGATTTACCTGATAGTTAGCGTCGAAAAACTTTTTAAACCATTGAACGAAGTGTGAGACACTTGACAGTGGTGAAAGGAAATTACTTTGCATGACGTTGTCGCCACGGAAGCAGATTTCTCCTTTTCCTTCGCGCGCATAATAATCCATGTCGGGCACGTCAACAAGTTTAAAAAATATTAGCCATCGGCAAATAGCTGAACCAGACGTCGCTTGTTTTCCAAGGCTCTTTAACCGAGAAGATTGTAATGCCACAGCAGACGGTGCAGATGTTCTTGTGAGTCAAGACGACGCCTTTCGGATCGCCAGTCGTGTCGGATGTGTAATTGATCGTAGCAATGTCTGAATAATGAAATTAAATGATCGCCCCTATTTTTATCATTTTTACCTGAAGAAGTCGGCGGAACATTATCAAACGAGCTGTCTTTTCCGATTGCAATAAAATCGTCGAAACTTATGATTTTATAATTGGAGGACTTGACCTTCTTGAATTTTCGAAACACAACGATTGTTTGAAGATGAGCAGGCTTGATTTTGAGAATGAGGTCAAGTTTCTTTTGATTTTGAACGAAGCAGATTGGAGCTTCAATCTGAAGAAAAAGTAAAAATAATCTCGTAAAGAAGTTGTAAACTTACGTGCTCGAGAATGTATTTGACTGCTTGTTCACCAAAAGTATCGTAAAGCGAAACATTGCATATATTTTGATAGTATCCTCCAATGATTACTGCGTCGTATTCGTAGCAATTCGACGAGTAGATCGCAATTTTGCTTTCTCCACTGATAAGTCCGTGCTTTTTCAGTGAATTCGCCAGGTATTGAGATGTTGCAGCGAACTCGCCATAAGTACGGGTCGTGTAATCTGTCAAATCTGGCGTCGGAGTGCCTCAAATGATAGCATTATCACTGGCGGTCTCTCTTCCTCGCTGGAAGCACTCAAGAATTGTCTGAATAACTGTAAAGAAAGTTCTGAGTGATACGCTTTACCTGTGGATAATCAGCTGGCAGAGTCCAGAGTCCTTTCTTCTCGCAGAGAATATTGTGTCTTGCGAAGGTTTCAGAATCTGCTTCATAACTTTGTGGCGCGTCAACGTAGTCTAATTTCTTGTTTCTGTGTAGAGTTATAATTTTGATGAAGACAAACCTTATCTACGCCCATTTTTTTTGAACGAGTTTTGCAAGACTTTGAAGTTATTGACATATTCGTGCTCGTGTTTTGCATTGTACTTTACTGTCTTTAGTCGGATGGAACCTAAACCAAATGTAGCTTGATTAAAAACGATTCGAAAGATGAGGGGTAAGGTGGAGACAACGAGGACATCATTTTTGTTTCACGAAACGAACATTGAAAAGTAATAATTCATTAATAAATCACGAAAAGGCGATGGTGAAACAAAATGGATTCTAATGAATGAGTTTCTTTCGCCGGAACAACGAAGCCCGATATGGGATGAAGCTCTAGCTTTTGCGACTCAACACGATTTGCGCATGCTGACCTCTTCAAAACACTGGTTTGTTGACGGTAAATTCTTTACGAAAGGCCAGCAAAAGAAGTTTGGCTACCGTCAACTCCTCATTATTGGATCAAGAGACCGAGATGATAGTGTTAATCCTAGATTCTTTATTATTCTCAAGGGTCAGTCTAAAGAAGGCTACAAGATTGTCTTTGAGGCTTTAAAGGAAATGATCAATATTGAAAATTTTGAACTTACTTGGTTCGGCAGCGAATTTGTCGTGTGTAATAACGTTGATGAGGACCACAATCGGCCGTTCGGTAGTTTTGAATAGCAGAGCAGCCGATTTTCCTGAAAAACTGTAAATTGATCTACAAAAAGAAACTTTGTCCTGATTCTGAATTTACAACTGTCTCGTCCGATTTCGAACCTGGGCTCAGAAATTCGATTCGCGAAACATGGCCGGAGAAGAATCTACGCATGGTTGGGTGCTACTTTCATTGGTTACAGAGTGTTAGAAGATATTTACAAAGTCATGGACTGTTGGCACTCTGGGAGAAAAATGGAAAGATACTCCAAGCACTCATCCATGCGATCCCATTCATTCACTTGACCGAACCTACATTCTACGACACATTTATGCAGCTTTTGCGTCGAACACTTGATGAACTGTCTACACCACTAATCAAAGACGAGATTAATGAGTTCTACAGATATCTTTCTACGACGTACTTGAATGACGATGCTAAATTCCCTCCTAGTTCATGGGCCCTTGCATTATCGATAGGAGCGAGGAATGGTTCAAAATTCTTGACTAATAACAGTCTTGAAATCATGGTAAGTTACCTTTTTTCGATGGGAAATCTTGTAAAAACATCGAATTCGTGAAGATGCGATTCCAACTAAAATTAAATGTTTAGAACTCATCCCTGGTGGATCAAGGAATCAACAATGCGACAGAGCTATCTACGGTCATCTCCATTGCTAATGGCTTTAAAAGTGAAAGCTTCAGTACGGAAATTGCTAAGCTTGAGAGCAACAGCCAGCAAAGTACTAAAAATGACAGATTGTGCGCCTTAGTTGCGGTTGTACGCTACGAGCAGCTAGCAAGATTTGACAAAAAATGCGCAGAAAATGGCTCAATCGAAGAAGCAATTGTTTCTGTCGGCTTCGGCTTGATGAGGGCCAGATCAAAGGCCGAGTCATTGAAATCTACTCAGAAACTCCGACATTTTATCAACAACGCCACGCAACCAGAAACTGCTGTATTTCAAAATTTGATTAAAGAATCAACAGCTGACGTATAGTTACTATTTTTTATACAAAAATAAAAATTATTTAGTCATACCAGTTTCAAGAAGCAATGCCTGTGATGTCCCCAGTTCGCGATGAGCAAGAAACAGCTGGTGAGCAAGTTGACCCAGATCCTTTCGCTCAGCAAGGAGGAGAATTCGATTTGAGAAGAGTTGCGGCGCCAATCGCTCAGCCAGTTCAAAGAGTGGAAAGAAGAGTCGATGAGGAGACGAGCAATGATGAAGTCGATGTGCCAGCTGTTATCCATGAGTTCGACCCACCTCCAGTGGACTCTTTACCGTCGGACAATGAGGATCGTGAGCCTGAAAACTGTAATATATCAAAAATGTAAATATCAAAAATTTAATATTTCTAGTTGAAAAATCGCCATCTCCAATACATTGGGAACGACTTCTGGATAAAACCGATGAGATAGATGAAACGATCAGAAAACAGTTTCCAAATCGTCCTTCGTCTTCAGAATCGGAGCAAGGTAACTGTCCATATTTAAAAAATAAATGACTTTCATTTAAGAAAATGACGAAGCCGGACAAGCTAATCGTTCTCGTCCAACATCTGATTCTTACCGGAATTTTGATGACAGAACTAGTCCCGAAAAGCTGGTTCTATCTGAACCCAAGCAGCCACGGAAGTATATTCGCAGCGCAAAATCCGCAAAACAGCGCAAAACGCGGGATCTTTCATTGTCAGATTCTGAATCGGATCGTAAGTTTAGTTTTATCAAGCAGAATGTTAATTATTCTAGATGAGCGCCCCGAATCTTCGCAAAATACGCGTAGTTTGTGCGCAAAAGTGAAGCGGAATGCGAAAAAATCAACCTATTGCGAGCATGATTCCCCACCAAAAAAGAAAAAGAAGAAAACTGAAGCCGAAGTGCGTTTGGCAGCCCAAATTGCGAAAGAAAAGAAAATTCTTAAAGAAAGAAATCGAAAAAAAAGAGAAAATGATCCTAAGGTAATGCTTGTATGTTTCTTTAAGAAAATAGCAGAATATTTAGGGCTACTATGCTGATATAGCAAATAAACGGCGTCAAACCATTCAAAGAAAAAAAGAACAAAATGAAGAGTTGATCGCAGAGTTACGGGAAGAGCTGGAAAAAATGAAGGCGGAAAATGCGAAATTGCGAAAACGCGAAGAAATGAGAAAAGCAGATATCCCAGGATTGTTTACACGTATATAATGGTTTCTTATTTAATTGTATTTAATTAGAATAACTTGATAAATAATAAAAAGACGATGACGATTTGATGCGCCAATTAAAAGAAGTACTCGCCACTTCCGACGAAGAAGACTTCTGATGTTCTATAAAAAAAGCTCCTTACATTTTCATCAAACTCGTTACATTCGTTACGGACGATTTCCATAGGTCAGAGCCGTTACAAAATTACCGGGGCAAACTTGCTGTTGCTCTAGCGCCTAAGGGTTACATTGTAGCCCAAGACATCTTTATACGTATCGACGGAGAATCTCAAGCTCTATGCCAGTATCATCTCAGATTTTCGAGATCTCAAAAAATTTCGGATTTATGGCGATTTTTCATTTTTCAAAGGACTACGTGTCCCTAATTCAGCCAATCACAGCACTGTATTTGACGCATTTGCACCGGTAAATTTGTAACGTCTCAGTTAATTGAAGCCGCTGAAAAATAAACCAATAAGTGAAAAAATTGATTGCAAAAGAAAATTCGAAACTCCTTTCCTATATATTTTTCTTCTTCGTTGGAGCTCCTAAAGATGGAATCGAGCACGTCGTTTTGTTGATTCATCGAGTTCCTAGAATTCGGAAGCTTTCTTTGTTGTCTGCGAGAAGAATACTGGCAGGAAGTTCTTCAATATCTTTCGAGGAGTTCAAAATCATGTTAAATTAAAGAAAGGGCACAATTATAACGGGTAAATTCTTCTGGAGGCCCACAATTATAACGGGTTCAATATTCTCCCCGTTGTTATTTTATATGGTCAATTTTCAACACTGAGTCCTTTCTGAAATTGAAATTCTGAATTAAAATTTAAAAATGATAGACAGTATTTTAGTTTCGCAACTCGTAAAGCTTTAATGTCAAAAATTGAAAAAAAATAGAAACATTTAACTTATCAACGGTTTGTGCATCGAAAGAGAGAAGAAAACGCATCATACATTAAATACGAAAGGTTGAAGTTTGGAGGCGAAACAAAGCGGAAACACAGTTCATAAGTTTTAAGCGAATTGGGCAAAATTTTATAGGCAGTTAATTCTTCTCTAATTCCTCTGGCAGTTAATTCTTCTCTGATCTTCATCATTTCCGCTTGAAAAACCGTTGATTTATCAACTAAATTCAGGCGAGCACAGCGCGGCGAATAAGGGAGGAGCGCGCCGCCCACGCGCGCCTGACTATTTCTCAGAAGAATCAGAAGATGAATTCCGAGCTCTTCTTCTCTCCGTTTTTTATCTTCCAGGATCATTAACTATAGATGTGAAATCAAAAGAGGCGATTTTCTGGCAGTTAGACTTTCTGGCATATTAGATTTTCTGGCATTGCCAGAAAATCGCCTTTGCCAGAAAGTCTAACTGCCAGAAAATCTAACTGCCAGAAAATCGCCTCCCTCCTATCTATCTACTTCTGACGCGGCTGATCTCGCTTTCCTTATGCGTTGCGCTTTCTCTCTCTTTGCGGGACTGATTGCCCTTGAGAATAATAAAACTCCGTACTAAATATTCTTTTGAAAAGATTTCTTTTTGACATTTTAAATTTTTCCTTTACGATAGAGAAAATGACCGGGTAAGAAAATAATATATTTTAATGCTCTATAAAAGGCCATTTTTAACCCTCGAGCTAATCCCCTTAGGCGTGAACGTATAAATTCAAAAGATAAGAGCTTATTTTTGACTTGATTTCGCAAAAATGCCGAAAGCTGAACGAAGAAAAAAGTAAAACAACCTTCTTTTCATCAAAGACTTTATTTTCAGAAGCAAACAAGAGAGCACAAATGCCGCGGAAAACACTAGAATTGTCCTGGAAGAAGAACTTCTCTTTTGCAAAATCATGCAAAAGTCTCTGAAAGAAGGTTCGTTTTAAAAATTCTGCGCTGTCAAAAAGGGTCGAATTATTTTTATCTTTAGTCGAGTTCGAGTCCAATTCAAGAGATCTTGTGTTTCAAGGGCCGGGTTTGAGGAAAACTAATAAAGCCCTAGAATTTTAAAGTTTCGCTTTTCAAAAATGCTTCTCAAACCCTTTATACAAGACACGAATGTTTATGTTTCTGACGAGGAGCTTGAAGTTTTAATTCCAAGATTTGTAAGGGTCACAATTTTTGAAAAGAAAGAATATTTTTCGAGAAAAAAAAAACGTTGGATGATCGCGTTTTTGAGCAATTTTTGTTCAACAGAGTTGTGACCATAATTGTAAGTGATAAAATTTGCCACAATCGGGTGATGGCGGTTCAGTTATCCGGCGATGGGGGGCCAATGAAAACAAAACCGTTGCAACGTCTATCAGGTATTATCTCTTATTTTCATCGTCGGTTGAATTTTTTATGGAAAAAAAAATCGAGAAAAATATTTTCTGCTAGAAATCGTTTTCGATAATTTACTTCGCAAGTAATTATTTTGAGTAATTTACGCAGCGCATTAGCTATTTAAAAAAAAAGGGCGGGAAAAGACTTGATTTTATGTCAACTAAGAAATGGTTATTGCAAGAACACGTTTTGTGAAAACAATTTTTTTCAATAAAGAATCAAGCGCTTCTTTATTTTTTCGAAAGTGAGGGGCTTATTCAATGGAGTCGTAATTTGATTTAGAACTGTGGCCGGCGCGGCGCAGGCGAATAAGCAATTTACGCCACTAAGGGATGAAGTTATGCTACATGCTTACCAAAGTGAAACAGCAGTAGCTATTCAGGTAAGCTCAATTGCTGAATTTTCGTTTCGAAATTTTTCATTTTAGATTTTGACTTGTCCTCTGCCCGACGAGGCGCGGTTCTGAGCTTGTAGTATCAGTACTTATCTTATCTATGCACATTACTAGCTCCCTCCGGAGAGCGGAATCCACAGTTGAACCGCTAAAAAGCTCGACGAAATGGAATTTGAGGTTCATTTGGGCGTCGGCGCCGATGGCTCAGGAAGGTTCAAAAATTGAACGTGAGCTTCGTTTGTCTTCTTTTTTTGCTGTTTTTGCACCTTGACAGCCACTGACATTACGACCGTTCACATTTTCCGGTAAAGCAGCGCTCGTCTAACATGCTTTGTGGTGTCCTCTTCTCAGCAACTCCGTGACCTTGCCAATTACTTTCCTCAAAATTCGAATAAAACAAATCTTTTTCCAAGATCTTGATTTACGAGATTTTACTCATTTTACGAGCAAATATGACATCATTGAAAAAAAGAGAAAAATTTTCTTCACACTCCCCTTTATTTGTTCAATCATTGCAAATATTTCTGACACAGTTTTTTCGCTAACTACCTGTTTGCAAAAAATCATTGAAGGCATGTCTTTTTCGGAAGAGGAAAATGAAGAAGAATCAACAGATGAAAAACTAAGCATAAACCCGAATTATCGATGGCTTGCTCTTTTCACTGTCATGGCAACTTCAGGTTATTTGCTTCTTGAAAACCAACCCCGCGAAAATATCGTTAATAAAATTTGCAGGTGGCAATGCAATGGGCTGGCTAGCATTTGCTCCGATTCCTGGGCCGACCACAGAGTACTTCGGAATAACCACCAATCAAGTTGATTTGTTCTCAGTTCTCTTCATGCTGGTGGGAATACCTGTTGGCTTTGTCGCTATCTATTGTGTGGATATAATTGGTCTGAGAAAGTCGATTTGGATAGCAGCGGCGTTCAATCTTGCTGGCTCAGTCGTCCGGTTATCGACGCTTTTTCATGAAGAACTCGATCAAAATGGCGATTTTATAGCAGCACCCAATTGGTGCTACCCAGTTGCCCTTGTCGGGACTGCAATTATGGCTGTCAGTCAAGCTTTCATCCTCGTTATTCCGACAAAAATGGCATCTCAGTGGTTTCAAGCTGATCAGAGACTACTTGCCAACTCACTTTCTTCCCTTTCGAATCCACTGGGGATGATGATTGCTGCAGTAACAGCCCCGATAATTGTGAGATCGGCAAGTGACTTGTGGATACAAGCGTTGATCTTTGCCATTCCAGTTGTTTTGGGGCTTCTTGCGTCCTTTTTCATTCCTGGAGAAGGCAATTATCTTTCAGAAACGGGTTTGAAGACAAAAATAGTCAAAAATATTTACCCTCAAACCCAATCAAAGCAGAAGAACTATCCTTCAAACAACGACTAAAATATCTCTTCAAGGAATACGGCCGCGAATACATTTGGATTCTCGTCTGCGGAGCAATCGGAATCGGACATTTCTCAACAAAACTTACCCTTCTTGTCCAATTTCTCTGCCCTGGGGGATACGACAATACTTTCAGCTCTTCAATTTGTGCCTCAGCTATAATTGTTACTGGAATCGTTTTCAGTGCGATTTTGTCGATTTTCATTGATGGAAAAGAATATCATTCTCCGGGTAAAATTGAAAACTGAAATATTTGAAATTTCGTTTTTAGCCGCAAAAATTTTGCTTCTTGTCGCTCTTGGTGCTTCGATTGGTTTCGCTTTCATCATGCATACGCCAGAAATTGAGCCATGGATTGGCGTCGTTTGTGGACTTTATGGCCTAGGAGGGCTGAGTTTCTTCCCGCTTTGTTGCGAAATGGCGGCGGAGTCGACTTTTCCCGTCGGAGAAGCAACCTCAACCGGATTTATGATGATGCTCGGGCAACTTCTAGCGGCGGTTATGATGTTCGGGAGTGCGGCGGTTCCGCAAGGTTTCGAGCCTGACTCATCTGTTTGCAATCCAAAGGAAGAGGGGCAAGATTTATCGGAGTTCTCATTTTACCTCGATATTGGTAAAATCGAAAAATTTGCCAATATCAACACTATTTTAGTGATCTTGGGACTCTGGTTTTTGTTTCTCTTTTTGTACAAATGCTCATACAGAAGAAAACATCATTATGAAGAGCTTGAAGATACTTCAGTAACAACTTCCTTGTAATCCAATGTAGAATTAATTTTATAAGAAAGATTATTCAGATGCGACATTTTCCCTTTTTTCCGTTACGAATCTTCTTGTAAACATTGCATTTCGCAAGAATAAACGAAATCAAAATCTGTGCAAATACGAAGGGAAAGTAGAGACTCCTCTTTCTCTTTGATTTCTCGTCTGAATTCATTCAATTTGCAAGAATTCCTCGCATCATGAATCGCAAGAATCATGAAAATCAAGAGAACCCTGGAGAAACGTCTGATTACTTCACATTTTCCCTAAATGTGCCTACAGGACTTCCGTCTGGAATGGTCATTCCAAATCCTCGACTACAGGGCTCTGATTCAACTTTACCGCAGAACGAGGTTCCGCTGCAGAACCATGAAACCTTGAACCCGGGATCAAATGGATCTTCCTCTGGAATGGACTGTGAAAAATTCAGCGGAAATAAGATTTGTTCAACCTGAGACATTTGAGGCCAATAATCTCCAAATCTGGATGCAAAATTTGGGAACTTGGAAATTCCGCTGTTCCAAGTTGGAATCATATGTACGACGTCAATAGACCGAAAGAGATCAAAATTTCGCCGGAAGAGCTCCTAGTTTATTGCAGAAAACAAACAACATACAACGTAGAGACCGTTCAAAATGCGTTGAAAAAGATGAACGACGACGAGAAAAAATGGGAAAGACAAATGGAGGACATGCGAAATGACTATGAACGTAAAATGAACGAGATGGTGGCTCAATATGAAGAACGAATCGCTCGACTTGAAAGAAGAAACACTTATGTAAATTACTAATTCGATTTGTAGGCGCCTCTTTGGCTGATAGGTAGTCGTAAGTCAAAAAATAATATGTTATCATAAAGAATTCTTTATAATAACTTGTTTAATTCAGATATACCAAAACTAGCTTCTATTACCCTGTTAACTGTACGAACAGCACTTTGTTGATTCGTTTGTTCGTATCTCATGGAAAAAAACTTTTCTTTATTGATAAAAAAAAACTGCTAAACATGATTTATTTCTTATATGCCTGTCTTTCTGGTAGTCTCATTATTTCTTGCATATTCACAGCAGTATGAAGCTTCACTTTACAATCATAATCGAAAATGCCTTCACCGACTGAATACTGATCGATCAAAAGCAGGCCCCTAAAACAAGTAAATCTCGATCTTTTAAGTTGGGATCAAAGTCGCTTGAGATATACTGTATATCATATACACGAATACAAAATTTTTTTTATTGCAAAACTTTTAAGTAGATTAATTTCGATCAGAAACTAAGTATGCGATAATGTAGCATCTAAAATTTTAAAGCAGGGCACGTAAGAAAAGAGAAGAAAAGCTTCGGAAAGAAAGAGCGGAAATCGTGATTGCCGATGACTTCTACACCGTCTTCGGCGATCGTTTCATTTTCGAGATCAATGCGTTGAATCGGGCTTTCGAAATCGTCCGAACCTTCCTCTTCTTCATATTCTCCACCAAAGTAGAAAATCGAGTTGTTGATCATCATTGCTGATCCTCCATGAACGACCTGGATGATATTTTTCTTTCTTACTTTTTTAAGGTTTCCAACGACCCACCATTTTTCATCAAGATCGAACTCCCAAATTTTATCCTGGTATCTCTCTGGCCCTGGCCATGTATCCCGCACGTAGCCTCCAAGCATGAGCATTTTTCCTGACGGAAGAGAGATAAATGAATGGGCTTCTCCTCCTTCCAGGCTAAAAAAACTTTTGGAAATATTCAGTCAAAGTTTCTTACTGATCGTTATCCCAGTTATCGTACCAACCATCCTCGGTCAATCTTTCAATTTGGGCAATTTTCTCCGCATGGGCAATTTGCAAAACAAGCTGTTGTACAAAACGATAAGTAGAAAGAATGATTTTATCCTACTTTCATATTCTCGTTGGCAGATCGAGAGACAATACTCTGTCTCACAAAGCAACCGACAGCGGTTATATTCAGCTCTGCAGACTGCTTGGCAATCCTTTTGGAGGTCTTCATCCCTATGAAAAACAAATTTGTAAGTGAAAATTATCAGAAAGAACATTTTTTTACTTGCAAATTTCATCTCTTTCGGACACCTGAAGACTCCTCGGAAAATCTTTCAAAGGGTCTCCATAGACTGAGTTCGAAAGGGACAGGAGAGAAAAAAATAATTTCATTTTCACGAAATGGAAAGCTTTGACCTGAGCTAGCTTTATAACAGGGTCATAATGTTAAGCAAATGCTGAAAAACACGTGCTAAATATCCCACTGCGGGTTACTTAAAGTAAAGTCTAAAAATGAAAGTTCAAGGTCAAAATAGTTTTGTTTTTGAAAAAAATCACTTGTTTTTCATTTATTACAGAGCTTGAATTATTTTTCGAATGCCTGTATTCCAGGAAGTCTCAATATTTTCGCTATATCAACAGTAGTTGGTAGCTTTGCTTTGCCTTCATAGTCGAAAATGCCATCACCAATCGAATATCGGTCGATTACAAGCAGCCCTCTGAAAAACCATCATTTCGGGGTTCGAAGATTCAAGAAAACTTACTTCGTGTGCTTTCCTTCTGTCTCCACTCCGACAGAATGCTCCCAAGCCTCAGTAATGATTTCCGGATTTGTGTGACAAAGAGCGGCGAGCAAATCATAAATTCTCCAACCAGGGCCGTTGTCGAACTGGCATCGAGGGTGAAACTCTCCAAAGTATCGCTCTGCATCATATTTTGAGACGGATTTTATAAATGACTCATCCATATCGTGCCAGAAAGAAATCGGGAAGGGAAATTGTCGTGCGAGTTCTAGGGTCACGATCGTTGGCGTCAAATGAGGAAGAAAGCTTTGATTGATTCCTTAATGTTTGTAGGAAAATGCCGAAAAATTCATCTTGAGAAATCTTCCTTGATATCACTTTCTCTGCAGAATAATAGTCGAACCAAAAGTTGTACTCTGCTGCCTGTCCCGGAGCATTTCCAGCTCCATACAAATTTCCTCCCATGACTGTCCACTCATTTACGCGCTCAGGAAGACTTGGGTCCAGTTTGAGAGCTTGAGCGATGTTGGTCAGCGGCCCAAGGGACAAAATTGTGATATCATCGTGTTCAAGCTGAAGTATTCATTTGCTGCATAAGCAATTTGACTTACAGTAAGATCAACAATCGCTTGCCCCGCTGATTTGCCCATGTCAATCTCTAAAAAGTCGCCCTTTTCAACATCATTACCCGAGATTCTCGGCTCGAGTCCTTGTTGATTTCCAAGACCATCTTCACCATACCATCCATCACTTTCTTCCGGAAAATCGGCGCCGAGATAAATCGGTGGAATACTCTCAAGATTGTTACTCTTCAAGATTCTAAGAGCATTTGCAGCGCCTTGATGAGTTTTGACGTTTCCATCAACGATCGTTAGAGCGACAATTTCAACAGATGATTTGAGATTCTTGAAAGAAGGATTCATATAGATCTTTGAATAATTGAAAAGAGATTTTGAACCCTTGGCAAAAGATATTGAATCGCAAGAGCATCATCAATTCCCGGATCACAATCGACGATCACCCTCTTTTTCTAGCCTCAAAGAGAGTTAATTCTAGAGCTTCTCTCGAATCAAAAAGACATTCCTTTGAGGCCATCGTTCGGATAAGAATTGGTGTTAAAAATGATCTGAGTTTCATTTTTTCTAAAAAGGAATTTCTATCTTTCTGTTTTTGGCTGTTTTCTCTATTTGGCTTTCGAATAAAAATCGGCCTCCTCCGTAGACCAAGATAAACTCGTTTGTTTAAACCTTTTTGACCTTTTGTTTTCAAAAGGAAAAATTGCGTTGAATTATGTTTTTATTAATTGATTTTCTGTCACAGTCAAAAATGATCATGATATGAGCAGGTTTGAAATAATTACTGTATGTTACTTTCTTCTTAGATTTTTTTGTTTGGCATTAGTTGTGTAGTTAATCTTTTGAATTCTTCTAGAAGTGGCTTTGAAGGTTGAAGTTAGGCTTCTGTCTGGGCTCCCTCCTAAAAATGCGCTCTTAGACCTTTTCGGGTTAGATCAATTCTTACAGTATATTTAGTTCCATCTTCATCTTCGTTTCCTCTTTTCTTGACATAAAATATGACTGCGATAATAATCGCAATAATGACGATTCCAGTGACACTTCCGACCAAGAAAGTTTTGTTGCCATTTCCAGCGGCATCCACGTCAATTTCTTCTTCAATTTTTTTCAATAAAGAATCAAGCGCTTCTTTATTTTTTCGAAAGTGAGGGGCTTATTCAATGGAGTCGTAATTTGATTTAGAACTGTGGCCGGCGCGGCGCAGGCGAATAAGCAATTTACGCCACTAAGGGATGAAGTTATGCTACATGCTTACCAAAGTGAAACAGCAGTAGCTATTCAGGTAAGCTCAATTGCTGAATTTTCGTTTCGAAATTTTTCATTTTAGATTTTGACTTGTCCTCTGCCCGACGAGGCGCGGTTCTGAGCTTGTAGTATCAGTACTTATCTTATCTATGCACATTACTAGCTCCCTCCGGAGAGCGGAATCCACAGTTGAACCGCTAAAAAGCTCGACGAAATGGAATTTGAGGTTCATTTGGGCGTCGGCGCCGATGGCTCAGGAAGGTTCAAAAATTGAACGTGAGCTTCGTTTGTCTTCTTTTTTTGCTGTTTTTGCACCTTGACAGCCACTGACATTACGACCGTTCACATTTTCCGGTAAAGCAGCGCTCGTCTAACATGCTTTGTGGTGTCCTCTTCTCAGCAACTCCGTGACCTTGCCAATTACTTTCCTCAAAATTCGAATAAAACAAATCTTTTTCCAAGATCTTGATTTACGAGATTTTACTCATTTTACGAGCAAATATGACATCATTGAAAAAAAGAGAAAAATTTTCTTCACACTCCCCTTTATTTGTTCAATCATTGCAAATATTTCTGACACAGTTTTTTCGCTAACTACCTGTTTGCAAAAAATCATTGAAGGCATGTCTTTTTCGGAAGAGGAAAATGAAGAAGAATCAACAGATGAAAAACTAAGCATAAACCCGAATTATCGATGGCTTGCTCTTTTCACTGTCATGGCAACTTCAGGTTATTTGCTTCTTGAAAACCAACCCCGCGAAAATATCGTTAATAAAATTTGCAGGTGGCAATGCAATGGGCTGGCTAGCATTTGCTCCGATTCCTGGGCCGACCACAGAGTACTTCGGAATAACCACCAATCAAGTTGATTTGTTCTCAGTTCTCTTCATGCTGGTGGGAATACCTGTTGGCTTTGTCGCTATCTATTGTGTGGATATAATTGGTCTGAGAAAGTCGATTTGGATAGCAGCGGCGTTCAATCTTGCTGGCTCAGTCGTCCGGTTATCGACGCTTTTTCATGAAGAACTCGATCAAAATGGCGATTTTATAGCAGCACCCAATTGGTGCTACCCAGTTGCCCTTGTCGGGACTGCAATTATGGCTGTCAGTCAAGCTTTCATCCTCGTTATTCCGACAAAAATGGCATCTCAGTGGTTTCAAGCTGATCAGAGACTACTTGCCAACTCACTTTCTTCCCTTTCGAATCCACTGGGGATGATGATTGCTGCAGTAACAGCCCCGATAATTGTGAGATCGGCAAGTGACTTGTGGATACAAGCGTTGATCTTTGCCATTCCAGTTGTTTTGGGGCTTCTTGCGTCCTTTTTCATTCCTGGAGAAGGCAATTATCTTTCAGAAACGGGTTTGAAGACAAAAATAGTCAAAAATATTTACCCTCAAACCCAATCAAAGCAGAAGAACTATCCTTCAAACAACGACTAAAATATCTCTTCAAGGAATACGGCCGCGAATACATTTGGATTCTCGTCTGCGGAGCAATCGGAATCGGACATTTCTCAACAAAACTTACCCTTCTTGTCCAATTTCTCTGCCCTGGGGGATACGACAATACTTTCAGCTCTTCAATTTGTGCCTCAGCTATAATTGTTACTGGAATCGTTTTCAGTGCGATTTTGTCGATTTTCATTGATGGAAAAGAATATCATTCTCCGGGTAAAATTGAAAACTGAAATATTTGAAATTTCGTTTTTAGCCGCAAAAATTTTGCTTCTTGTCGCTCTTGGTGCTTCGATTGGTTTCGCTTTCATCATGCATACGCCAGAAATTGAGCCATGGATTGGCGTCGTTTGTGGACTTTATGGCCTAGGAGGGCTGAGTTTCTTCCCGCTTTGTTGCGAAATGGCGGCGGAGTCGACTTTTCCCGTCGGAGAAGCAACCTCAACCGGATTTATGATGATGCTCGGGCAACTTCTAGCGGCGGTTATGATGTTCGGGAGTGCGGCGGTTCCGCAAGGTTTCGAGCCTGACTCATCTGTTTGCAATCCAAAGGAAGAGGGGCAAGATTTATCGGAGTTCTCATTTTACCTCGATATTGGTAAAATCGAAAAATTTGCCAATATCAACACTATTTTAGTGATCTTGGGACTCTGGTTTTTGTTTCTCTTTTTGTACAAATGCTCATACAGAAGAAAACATCATTATGAAGAGCTTGAAGATACTTCAGTAACAACTTCCTTGTAATCCAATGTAGAATTAATTTTATAAGAAAGATTATTCAGATGCGACATTTTCCCTTTTTTCCGTTACGAATCTTCTTGTAAACATTGCATTTCGCAAGAATAAACGAAATCAAAATCTGTGCAAATACGAAGGGAAAGTAGAGACTCCTCTTTCTCTTTGATTTCTCGTCTGAATTCATTCAATTTGCAAGAATTCCTCGCATCATGAATCGCAAGAATCATGAAAATCAAGAGAACCCTGGAGAAACGTCTGATTACTTCACATTTTCCCTAAATGTGCCTACAGGACTTCCGTCTGGAATGGTCATTCCAAATCCTCGACTACAGGGCTCTGATTCAACTTTACCGCAGAACGAGGTTCCGCTGCAGAACCATGAAACCTTGAACCCGGGATCAAATGGATCTTCCTCTGGAATGGACTGTGAAAAAAATTCAGCGGAAATAAGATTTGTTCAACCTGAGACATTTGAGGCCAATAATCTCCAAATCTGGATGCAAAATTTGGGAACTTGGAAATTCCGCTGTTCCAAGTTGGAATCATATGTACGACGTCAATAGACCGAAAGAGATCAAAATTTCGCCGGAAGAGCTCCTAGTTTATTGCAGAAAACAAACAACATACAACGTAGAGACCGTTCAAAATGCGTTGAAAAAGATGAACGACGACGAGAAAAAATGGGAAAGACAAATGGAGGACATGCGAAATGACTATGAACGTAAAATGAACGAGATGGTGGCTCAATATGAAGAACGAATCGCTCGACTTGAAAGAAGAAACACTTATGTAAATTACTAATTCGATTTGTAGGCGCCTCTTTGGCTGATAGGTAGTCGTAAGTCAAAATAATATGTTATCATAAAGAATTCTTTATAATAACTTGTTTAATTCAGATATACCAAAACTAGCTTCTATTACCCTGTTAACTGTACGAACAGCACTTTGTTGATTCGTTTGTTCGTATCTCATGGAAAAAAACTTTTCTTTATTGATAAAAAAAAACTGCTAAACATGATTTATTTCTTATATGCCTGTCTTTCTGGTAGTCTCATTATTTCTTGCATATTCACAGCAGTATGAAGCTTCACTTTACAATCATAATCGAAAATGCCTTCACCGACTGAATACTGATCGATCAAAAGCAGGCCCCTAAAACAAGTAAATCTCGATCTTTTAAGTTGGGATCAAAGTCGCTTGAGATATACTGTATATCATATACACGAATACAAAATTTTTTTTATTGCAAAACTTTTAAGTAGATTAATTTCGATCAGAAACTAAGTATGCGATAATGTAGCATCTAAAATTTTAAAGCAGGGCACGTAAGAAAAGAGAAGAAAAGCTTCGGAAAGAAAGAGCGGAAATCGTGATTGCCGATGACTTCTACACCGTCTTCGGCGATCGTTTCATTTTCGAGATCAATGCGTTGAATCGGGCTTTCGAAATCGTCCGAACCTTCCTCTTCTTCATATTCTCCACCAAAGTAGAAAATCGAGTTGTTGATCATCATTGCTGATCCTCCATGAACGACCTGGATGATATTTTTCTTTCTTACTTTTTTAAGGTTTCCAACGACCCACCATTTTTCATCAAGATCGAACTCCCAAATTTTATCCTGGTATCTCTCTGGCCCTGGCCATGTATCCCGCACGTAGCCTCCAAGCATGAGCATTTTTCCTGACGGAAGAGAGATAAATGAATGGGCTTCTCCTCCTTCCAGGCTAAAAAAACTTTTGGAAATATTCAGTCAAAGTTTCTTACTGATCGTTATCCCAGTTATCGTACCAACCATCCTCGGTCAATCTTTCAATTTGGGCAATTTTCTCCGCATGGGCAATTTGCAAAACAAGCTGTTGTACAAAACGATAAGTAGAAAGAATGATTTTATCCTACTTTCATATTCTCGTTGGCAGATCGAGAGACAATACTCTGTCTCACAAAGCAACCGACAGCGGTTATATTCAGCTCTGCAGACTGCTTGACAATCCTTTTGGAGGTCTTCATCCCTATGAAAAACAAATTTGTAAGTGAAAATTATCAGAAAGAACATTTTTTTACTTGCAAATTTCATCTCTTTCGGACACCTGAAGACTCCTCGGAAAATCTTTCAAAGGGTCTCCATAGACTGAGTTCGAAAGGGACAGGAGAGAAAAAAATAATTTCATTTTCACGAAATGGAAAGCTTTGACCTGAGCTAGCTTTATAACAGGGTCATAATGTTAAGCAAATGCTGAAAAACACGTGCTAAATATCCCACTGCGGGTTACTTAAAGTAAAGTCTAAAAATGAAAGTTCAAGGTCAAAATAGTTTTGTTTTTGAAAAAAATCACTTGTTTTTCATTTATTACAGAGCTTGAATTATTTTTCGAATGCCTGTATTCCAGGAAGTCTCAATATTTTCGCTATATCAACAGTAGTTGGTAGCTTTGCTTTGCCTTCATAGTCGAAAATGCCATCACCAATCGAATATCGGTCGATTACAAGCAGCCCTCTGAAAAACCATCATTTCGGGGTTCGAAGATTCAAGAAAACTTACTTCGTGTGCTTTCCTTCTGTCTCCACTCCGACAGAATGCTCCCAAGCCTCAGTAATGATTTCCGGATTTGTGTGACAAAGAGCGGCGAGCAAATCATAAATTCTCCAACCAGGGCCGTTGTCGAACTGGCATCGAGGGTGAAACTCTCCAAAGTATCGCTCTGCATCATATTTTGAGACGGATTTTATAAATGACTCATCCATATCGTGCCAGAAAGAAATCGGGAAGGGAAATTGTCGTGCGAGTTCTAGGGTCACGATCGTTGGCGTCAAATGAGGAAGAAAGCTTTGATTGATTCCTTAATGTTTGTAGGAAAAATGCCGAAAAATTCATCTTGAGAAATCTTCCTTGATATCACTTTCTCTGCAGAATAATAGTCGAACCAAAAGTTGTACTCTGCTGCCTGTCCCGGAGCATTTCCAGCTCCATACAAATTTCCTCCCATGACTGTCCACTCATTTACGCGCTCAGGAAGACTTGGGTCCAGTTTGAGAGCTTGAGCGATGTTGGTCAGCGGCCCAAGGGACAAAATTGTGATATCATCGTGTTCAAGCTGAAGTATTCATTTGCTGCATAAGCAATTTGACTTACAGTAAGATCAACAATCGCTTGCCCCGCTGATTTGCCCATGTCAATCTCTAAAAAGTCGCCCTTTTCAACATCATTACCCGAGATTCTCGGCTCGAGTCCTTGTTGATTTCCAAGACCATCTTCACCATACCATCCATCACTTTCTTCCGGAAAATCGGCGCCGAGATAAATCGGTGGAATACTCTCAAGATTGTTACTCTTCAAGATTCTAAGAGCATTTGCAGCGCCTTGATGAGTTTTGACGTTTCCATCAACGATCGTTAGAGCGACAATTTCAACAGATGATTTGAGATTCTTGAAAGAAGGATTCATATAGATCTTTGAATAATTGAAAAGAGATTTTGAACCCTTGGCAAAAGATATTGAATCGCAAGAGCATCATCAATTCCCGGATCACAATCGACGATCACCCTCTTTTTCTAGCCTCAAAGAGAGTTAATTCTAGAGCTTCTCTCGAATCAAAAAAGACATTCCTTTGAGGCCATCGTTCGGATAAGAATTGGTGTTAAAAATGATCTGAGTTTCATTTTTTCTAAAAAGGAATTTCTATCTTTCTGTTTTTGGCTGTTTTCTCTATTTGGCTTTCGAATAAAAATCGGCCTCCTCCGTAGACCAAGATAAACTCGTTTGTTTAAACCTTTTTGACCTTTTGTTTTCAAAAGGAAAAATTGCGTTGAATTATGTTTTTATTAATTGATTTTCTGTCACAGTCAAAAATGATCATGATATGAGCAGGTTTGAAATAATTACTGTATGTTACTTTCTTCTTAGATTTTTTTGTTTGGCATTAGTTGTGTAGTTAATCTTTTGAATTCTTCTAGAAGTGGCTTTGAAGGTTGAAGTTAGGCTTCTGTCTGGGCTCCCTCCTAAAAATGCGCTCTTAGACCTTTTCGGGTTAGATCAATTCTTACAGTATATTTAGTTCCATCTTCATCTTCGTTTCCTCTTTTCTTGACATAAAATATGACTGCGATAATAATCGCAATAATGACGATTCCAGTGACACTTCCGACCAAGAAAGTTTTGTTGCCATTTCCAGCGGCATCCACGTCAATTTCTTCTTCAGCGGGGTCTTCGATCGGGTTAGGAGTGTCTTCATTCGGTGAATCTAGAATTGAAGGTTGAATCTAAAATCTGAGAAAAGTCATGAATTGGTACCTCTGTGAGTTTCAGTTGGTGGGTCGACAGGAAGATCAACAACTTTCTTCGAGCAGGGTCCAGCGATACAACCTTCTGCTGGAAACGGGCTGTCGAGATATGATTCTACGGATTGGCCGTCGACCAATTTTTGATAAACAACTCGGCACTGGTACTTTTCACTAGCGTCTATTTCTGCTCGCAGACTGGCATCAACTGTCGAGCTAGAAAACGACGATTATTAATCGGAAATGAAAGTAAAACTTACCTTCTGTAGCGGTTTTCTTTTGCAACTCCAGTTCCCGAATAATCGACAAAGCAATCGTTAGCATCAAGCTTCGAGTTTTCATTGCATTCGAAGACGATATTTCCTTGGTCGTTGAGCCATTGAATCGTGGCCTGAGGATAAGTCTCGCCAGTAGTGCAAGTCGCGAGTTTCTCGGATTTTTTCGAGTTTGGATCAAAGTTGCTTGAGATCACCTTAAATTTATCATTGAATAAGACATCTTCTCTATGAATAAGTACCTTGACATCAGATGGCTCCAAAATCGCCAACAACAAGACCTGTTCTGTCCTCCCTCCTCGCATCGTACAATCATAAATAGTATTGAACAAGTACTCATTAGATAGATATCCATTCACAATCGCCTTTCCGTCTCGCACTTATCTTGGCTTGAAGATCAAGGGGTCAATTACATGACAAATTTCCGTACTCGTTAAAAGAAAGTTCAAAGGTTACATTTGAGAAAAATGGAAACGCGTGGCCTTTACATCGGTTTTATGATGATGATTTATGTTCAGAAAAATTTGGACTTAATCAAATTCATAAAAAGACACCATCAAATCATAAAAACGCGTCGTTAAGAACATTCTCCATCAAAAAATCTTTTCATCTGATTATCTGAGAAGCCAATCCTGAAATAGCTGGACCTTCTTCTGAAAACGTAGGGACGAGAGATTCAATTTCCGACTTTTGTTCATCGCAGTAAATTGGATACGCTACGCTTCTGTCCGAACCGACGAAGGTTTTATGAACGGCTGAGACTGCTGCCGCCACTAGAAGGAGGGGGATAAAAAGGGATTAGGATAGAATTTCAGGAAGAACGGATCAGAAGAGATTTAACCGATTTCAAGGCGATTTTTAAGAAAAAGAAAATTCTTTATTTTGTTTATTCATTCTTTCTTTATGTTTATTTGGTTCGATTATTAATTATATTATTTATTCTTATTTTTAATTTTAAGCAGTAAAGCTGCAAAGAAGGAAAAAAAATTTCTTTAACAAAAATTTTTTTCAGAGTATTTTTGTTAAATAAAAAGCTAAATAAGAAGAAAACTTACATGAAAAAACGATCCTCAGCTTCATTTCTTTTTTTGTTCTCTCTCGAATCTGTGCTCTGCTTCGCTAATAAAAGAGCCTCTCTAGTAGACTCGGTATCCGGGCGTCGTAACCTCCTTTGTTTTTGTGCTTAACCTTCGCAGCCAAAGAAAATTCACTTTCTCAGGATAACTTATGAGCGGTAAAACGAACTTTCCGGTTAATGAAGAAAATGGAATGTAAAGCTTCAAAACTGGGCTCCGTCACGTGGCTCAAGGGCAAGGCGAGAGGAAAATCACTCAAGCGCTTAAAAATCAAAAAAAGTGTCTCGAAAAATTTAATTAAGGCAATCACCGGGCGGTAATTAGGGGCGGTTGCTTGCTTTTTCGATTTTTCGATACCTTTTGGCCGCTTTTCTAGGGTGGTATTTATATGGCAAAGTGGCACATTCATGTAGCTACGGTAGCGGTCCGGAGAATCATAATCACGTGGCGAAAATAAAAAGCCTAATTAGGGCTCGGAGCTGTAAATGGATGATTACGGGGATTTTTTAACGATTATACTTGTCAAAAATCATTGAAGAAAATTTTCATTGTTGCATAAACTGAATAAAGAAATAAGCAGAAATACAAATGAGTATAAATAGGTGGTTTTAAAATGATAAAACGCTCAAAAAAATTCGATTTCTATATAATTTTTGCTTAATTTTTATACATAAAATATCCCTTTTCTTGCTCTTCTGAAGATCACAAATCTCCTTCTTTTCTGTGTCTCTTCAAAATCTCTGTAAAAATCACTGTATTAGAAAAAAGGCCGTCAAATAGCAGACAGACACACTCACGAGCGTCTTTCTTTCTTCTTTTCTTGAGTTTTTGATGAGCTGGCAGGTGAGCCAGGCACTAGAGTGGTGCTCAATGAATAAATGATTTAGCGCCGCAGAGTTTTTTCTCTTTTCGGAAAGGAAGACGAGCATTCCCCTGCTCTCAAGGACCTTTGTTTCGTTGATGCCATTTAAGCGTGCCAACTTTGACCGTCAACCAGACGTCCTGTTTTTGTTTCAATTATAAGTTACCGCGCTTTGTTATATTGACCGAAAATCAGCGAAGCAGGAATTTTATCTTACTGGTTGAGTGAAAACTGATTTTTGAACAAGATTATTTTCGTTTTTTTTTTCTATCTGGCGTATGTCTTAATGGCAAAAGTAAGCAATCGAATGACCGCTGGAGACTTAAGGCGGTAGACATCAAGAATCGGATTTTCCTGCAGTGTTTTTAAATTTTTAAATAGTCTCGCTTTGAACTTCGACGAAGAATATTCTAATATAGAAAAGCGCTGGTGACATTCAAAAAGGAACGAAAACGGAGGCAAAATTGTCCAAATGTCAGTGAAACTGTCATCTTCATATACCGGCGCTTTTTGTTTTACTCCAGAATTCTCACTCAAAACTCAGTCGCAATGGTTGACAAAAGAGGAAAAAAGAGGATGAAGATTCCGATATATCAAAAAAGAGTCCGGGTAACTACAATTTTGATTCAATAAGTAAAAATAAACATCGAATAAGTGTCTTGATTGCGACTGTATTGGTGTTTTGAGACTGAAACAGAAGAAACTGTATTTGTTGCCCGAAGAAGTTTTGACAATCCGAAGCATCGATACTCAAGAACACCATATGCAGAAATCAAAAGAGAAGCAAACATGGAAGAAAAAAGTTACCGCAAAAATGAGCCTTGCAAAGCACGGCAACGATACAGACCCTCAGAAATACACCTACCTTACTCTCGGTTCAATTTTTTGGATCACGGTTATGCTTATAGGTACTATCATAATTTTTTTCTACCCAGATATTTATGTCACTAGCAAATGTTCATTCTTTGGAGAAATCACGTGCCGTAACAACTTTTTTAACTTCGACTTGTCACCGAAATTACAAAAAATGCGTCCGAGTTGCGACAATGGACTATTGTGGCCATTTGATGAAGCAATGTTACGAAACACAGGAATTTGAAGTCCCTGAGCCGGTTACTAAGATTTCAAATGCTGAAACGAAGGTTCGTCTTTTCTCAACAGAAGAAAACGACATGAATCTTCGGCGATGTCAGAAGAAGCAGTTTTACGACCAAAGTGTGTGTCGCCATCTTTGTTCAAAAACGCTGGTTTTGGAAACAGCAACGACAATAACAATTTCTCCCTGCGAGTCGATGTGTTTTGAGCAAACACGATCTTACGACGCAGCTGGAGACGTTTGTCCATTTCAAGAATACTGTCTGAAAGGTTGCCCCTGTCCCTATTATGAGTGTGAAAAGTTGGATTCACAACAAAAATTGACTCCTGTTTTTGATCTAAACTCGACTATTTTTGATCAAGTAAACTTGCAAGACTCTTATTCTAGTGACGCAAAAAACAACACCGAGCATGATGATCGAACAAATAAAAAACAAGAGCTTCGAAAATTTATTTTGTCTGATTATCGTGGAAACAATAAACAAATCAACATTTCAGATGATTTTACCCTTTATGAATGTTTTTGTTGATAAGTCCTTATTTTTCATGATAAAATCAATCAAAACGCAAAAGTCCACTGGTGCAACTTTTCTCAACGGCGAGCATTACTTGGTTGATGCGATTGGAAACTTAATGAAAGCAGGGTGGCGAATCTGGCCGAGGAAAATTAGGCAAACTAGCCAGAAATCTTGTCTGCCCAGTCATTGGGGTAGATTAAACAGGATTGTCAATGGTTGTTTTGGTCGTCGAGCATTAGAGGAAATAATCTGGACAACTGGCCAGCGCAAATAAATTTTTTGTCTAGATTTGCCACTCTGGTGAAAGTGAAAGAAAATGGCGATGCTCCGATTTTCATTAAAAATCGACATAAAAATATGTAATCGCATAGGCAGGCTACATCTCAGTTATTTTCTCCATAGACGGAATGGGGACTCGCCAAAATTTTTCTTTCTTTTCTTATAATTTTCTTTTTAGAGGGGTCTTCGTTTTTCACTTTGGATCTTCCATTGGCACTCATCATATTGAGATAAAAGGCGAAAGAGGAGAATACGTTATTTTTCCGGTAGTGGTTATCTGTAACGGTTGAAAAACAAGTAGACTTTATAAATAAGAAGACTAAATAAAAAATTTTGACCTTCACAAGCCGTCCAACAGGTAACGAAGACAAATGTTATTATTATGCTCCGGAGTACAACTTGGGCCGATTTGAAGAAGCACAGGGTTTTATCGCAAGCAATCACGCCAATGCGAAAGTATCTTCTGTCAGCTTCAAAGGAGTCTTCAACATGATGAGTGTGAAATTGGGTGACCATCACATCAAGTTGTCGACGACCGTTGCCTTGAACAGAATAAGAATAGATGAAGAAATTGAAAAAGGATGGAGAAAAAATAGTATAAAATTACCAAGTGAGTTCATGGACCTGGACCCGGTCCATGTTGTTCCATTGGAATGAGTTAAAATCCCTATTTTAAATTCTTTGCATCTCAACAGTAATATAGATAATTAAAAAATTTCCGAATGCGTCAATTTTTTCCATGGTTTTGTTCTCGGGACTTAAATAAAATATCTTTTTTTTAACCTTAAGGAGGGGGTCGACGAGAATCGGGATTTCCGTGACCAAAAATGCGGGAAAACCTGATCAGATAGGCAAAATTTGAATTTACTGGCAAAAAGAAAAGGGTTGAAAAAATTAACCGGCGAGAAGTAGAAAAAATTTTGGCCAGAAAAAATCGGTCAAAAATGCCGTCAAAGTAGGGGCATTTTCGCGAAAATGCACCAAGAATAGTCATTTTTTTTACATTTTTCTTAATTTTACCCCCTAAATCTTATTTTTATCGAATGGTTTTAGGCTCAACAGATTCAAGAGGATCTTAGGATTCCAAAAATATAAGATTCATACACAGACCATGTGTATACGCGAAATTACGATCACCTCTGAAAAAATTCTCGTCGATCCCCCCCTTAACCCGCCAATTTCGAACCCTGTTCATAAAACAATTCAAACATGACAAGATCAGGGGAAGAAAGTCTAGAAGGAGAAGAATTTGATTTTGAAAATTCATAACTCAATAAGATGGATGGAAAAAAACTTCTTTTAATAATCGCAGCACGAAGTATTCCTCTTTCAAATACTCTGTACTCGTTGTTGTTGGAAGCAGAAGGAAGCTTTCTGTCTCTTGGTCGCGAGTGGATCGGTTCCCTCGTTAAATACAAAGAAAAACCTATTTGTAATTCAAAATTATTCGCCGAAGATGATCCTTATTATACTGATCAAAAAGGAGTCCACAATGACGAATGCGAGTACTTTGTCAATGGAATAATCAACAATGAGAAGATTTATATTCAAAATTATGTTTTCGGAAGTTTGTATGAAATCGAATTTGATTACGGAAAGGATAAACAACTTCGATTTGAATCGAATTCAGTTTCGGACTTTATAGGCGGTTAAAATTTGGGTTTTTATTGTAGATTATTAATCTATTCTTGAGAGAGAAACATGATCGGAATTATTCAAAGAAACTCAGAAGAAAAGCTGCACGTAACAAGCAATCCTTTTTTTGCCTTTCACGACGATGTTTTTCCTCGTTTCTCGAAGAATGCTGTTATCCAGCCTCCTTTTCCGCCCGTTATTTACCTGAAAACAATTATTCCGGAATCAAGACCTGCAGATCAATGGTTTTCTTCACTAAAAGGATTAAATCATATTTCTACTATTGAGATGAAATTAAATGGAAGAGAAACATTTCATCTCGAATTCAAATTGAAGAAATTTTCTTCTATTCAGACAAAAATTCTTGGGGCTTATTTCTATGATGGAACAAGCCTATTTATTTTTGGAACTTATAAAAATGGCACAATTTGGATCGACTCTGATTATCACGATACACGCTTAAGGACCCCCCCCGTCAACAATTTTCGAAAAATCAATTTTCGGAATTTTGACCCCGGAAATGGATTCTACAGATCAAAAAACGATTTTGAGGCTTTATTTTTTGGGGGTCTATCTCGACTCTAACACCCTCAAAATCGCGTTTGAAAATTGGAC